AGAGGAATCGCCTGTGAAATTTTTTTGCCACTTTTTTGTATAATTGACCTCTTCGAAGTGTGTCTTTGTGCGATTCTTCCTTTAATTTCGTGGAGACTTAAGTGCGACTTTTTTTCTAGATGGTATTGCAACTTTCTAATCTTTTCCCCGATGTTAACACTTAACATCCATCAATGACAGTCAAGTTACCATTATTCAAAAAAGGTACCTAGGAAAGTTGCAGGTGAAAGAATATATATAGACATATTTTTTTTTATCTAACATACACTGTATATAATAAGCAAGAGAACATCATCATTTCCTTTTTCACTCCAGCACGCAACCTTTTCAGAGTATACAACTAGCATCACTGACAGGTAATATGTGGACATTACAACTAAATAGGTTCTTGCGAAAGAAGACAACCTCAAAGTTAACCACTAATCTAGCTACTTTGGCGAGTCATTTGAGTAATACGTTTATTTACATGTTATATTAATGGTAATTATCAAGAGTTGTGTTCTGTGCACTTGGCAATCCACCGCTTCGACCTCGACAAGCACGAACAGCTAAGCGTCCATCGAGAGCCGGTCATAAGTGAAAAAAGAAAACATTCCCTGTTTTTTAGCTTCCTCCTGGGCTACATGGTGGAATTTCGAAGCGACGTCGTCATGTTTTTATTTCTTTTATACGTTGACATTTTAATGAAATGGAGTTTGCAGCATACAATTTCTCCGGGTGAAGGTTGGTTTAATAACTTTTCCGTAAAAGTGGTCATTATTTTCAGCTGCCTTGTGATGCTGTGTAATACATACCAAGCTTGTGAAAGTTGCCTATCTCGCCATCTGATAGACTTGATCGGATCTGAATTTTCTGTGATTTTCACCTCTGAGCAAATCAAAATGGTTTTCCTTTAAAAGTAAAAAAAAACAAAAAAAACGACAAGGCAAAACCAAATCAAGCAGTTTAGTCTGGGTACGTTTTATTAGATTCGATCATTAAGGTTCAGTTTGACAGTTTTACAAGTGCTTGCCTTTCCTAATAAGCTTAAAGTACATTTCCCGAAACCAAACGAAAAAAATCAATCCCTTTCTAAAGCATATATATTTGCAGTGAATTTTCAATTCAACCAATCACGCAGTTTTGTTTTCGACTGAAACACACTGGAACCATGGTTGAAAATATCTTAGACGCCGTTAACCGATGACCAAAGTGTTTTGGTTTCTGGAGCGTCTGTTGCAACTTTTTTCCAGTAAATTCACAGCCATAAGGGTAGCTGCGTATTATTTTAAAATTTCGTCCTCGGAATTATGATTCTTCGTTCCATTAGTCTCTCTTGATGTCCAGTCATCTAGTGAAGGCTCACTCTAGCGGCAGGTCGTCTCTGCAAATCATCTTAAACATGGCCTGTTAACAAAAGCGATTAATAGAAAGTTTGACATGGACAAGTAAAATCCATTCGTAAGACGAATGAGACTTAAAAAATTGTGATTTTATTACTTGCCCATCGCCAATTTTTTTGTCTTTCTTTGTTTCTTTGTTTTTTGTTGCTCGCGCTTGAAATGATTGTCTTTGGCCAACTGGGGTACGGAAAGAATCTTCCGATGTTTCGGGCCGGCTCGTACCTCAGTTTCGGTGAAAGTGGGGGATATGAATAACCCGCAACCGAATATTTTGGGCTATTACGCGACCACAGACGGCGAAGAACGGCTGAAGACCACGTGACCAAGCAGGGTCTTCAACGCCAGTTTTTATCGGGGAGAGGAAGTTTGTCACATAAACCATTTACCTGCAGAGGGCATTGTGATAATGACGCAGAGTCGCTGATGAGAGAGTCATTTTCGGATTCTCTGAGATGCAATTGTATCTTTGGAGTATATGTACAAAATTAACTCGTTTACTCGAAAATTGGTTGGTTTGATTTATTAGATTCGTGATCAACATAAAATGCCTCGAAATCTGTCTCTTGTGTCAAGAGGGAAGCTTAACCGAAAAGAATGATCTAATCTCGCACGCGAGCGAAAATCACGCGTGGCGTCCAGGTGTGGCACGCTGTTGAACAGCATATATGACACTGTAGAACATGCAGGGAACTAGATCTCGTGGCTAATCTCGACTCCTTGGACTCTTGGCTCTCAGGCTCTCAGGTTCGTATATTGTTGTGAAATGCGACGAATTCAAGCTGTCACCCTTGGTTTTGAAGCTAAACATGCAAGCGAGCGAAGATCACGGGAGCGGGTGCCCTCGCGTGACGAATATGCTTTTCAATGAAAAGCGTCAAGCATAACAGATGAAAATAACAGTTTGGCAGAAAATGATGCAAATAAGCGTTGACGAGGGAAGTTCTGCTTCATTTTTGTGTGAGCCATATGCTTAATTTTGATTGGTACACGGCAGACACGGGAATCAAAACAGCTAAACCAAAAATTAGCCGCAGTCTTTTTACAGCAGCTAGTCCACTTGTCCCTTGTTTTGGCGTACGGACCTATTAACGCTCGCTAAAAAAATGTTTAGATATCGCCTGTGTAAAAACAAATTCCCAGGATAGAAGCAGACAGCTCTAGCTGGCTTAACTGAAACGTCCAATCGCTGACCTCAGGATGACCTCACGTGTGAATTCTAGAAGCCACCCAATCGTAAAGAACTTAGGCACTTTCATGCATACTTGCTAAACCCGATTGCTGTCTTTGTTAGAAACAAGAATTGTTGATTAACTGAAATTTATTTCATATGTTCAATAAATTATGATTTTACTTGTACAAAGTACTTTCAATAGTAGAATCAAACACCTGTCATGTACGATAGTTTTTTACAAATTCAATTTTGGTTTCACTAAAAACCACTGGGAAAACACTTGACAAGCTTTTAAGTAATGGCATATGTGTGTTTATTCAACTTAATGGTAAGACTGATTTTTTTCAGTAGTTCTCAAAAGAAATCTTTTAACTACGCCAAAAAGAAAACTGCTTGGTCATTGCCACCTGAACGATGAAGTTGTTGTTCCAGTGGCTGTAGAAAAGATCATTGTTTTAATACAAACACAACCGCATTTGTAAACTGACACATCGGAAGCCACACCTTTCTACTTTTTATGACTGTCAACTTTAAGCTTCTTGTGTTTTATGCGGCCGGAAATCAGGAAAAGAGTAAACCTCTGTCATTTTTACAATTTTAAATGAAAATTTCCGCTTTGGTTAAGTGCAAGAACGGATGTTGTTGGTAATAAAAAGAGAAGCGAGGGCTTTATTTTTATTTCTCTGTAGAATGTATGTCTTCTTGAGGTTATGTTGAAGGGAGTACAGTATTGCCAATAGAGTAAGATTTAGAATCAGATTTAGTATATCTCCTTTGTAATGAGGAAGTGAAAACAGTATGACCAGTTTCGGAGTATGTTTTTAATGGGAATATGTTTATTTTTACGTGAATTGCTGTAAAGGTTAAAAGACAATTGCCATTGCTATCTACTTTTATTTTCGTGGGCTAATGAAAACTGATCCCTTTTATCGTTTCTATCACGTAGCCGTGGGGATCATTTTTTTTATCATACATGTAAATTTGGAATTAGTTTGCCGCTTCAAAGGAGAACAAAATGTCAATATGTAAAACAACAATTACATAAATATTTTATTATTTCCCATGCGGTGACAATTGAATTTTCCAGAAATCGTAAATGTAGCTTACGGTTCGATCGCCTGAACGCAAACTTTTACCATACCTAGTAACGAAATAGCAATATAATTCGATAATTTAAAGTATGATAAAACTTATGTGAAGATGGAATTGAAAATAAAATTTCGAAACTTACTCTTAACCAGCCGTTCCTTGCATTCAAAGACTTCGTTTTTCCGTCTTTGCTTTAGAAAACCGCGGAGCCGAATGATTTCGAAAATAACTTGTAGGATTGATGCATTTCTATATTTTTTCCGCACGTATGAGATGCCAGGTCAGTTCTTTTTACAAAACGTGACCTACAGCACTTTAAAGCGATAAGATATTCTATAGATACAATTCCTAAACGTTTTTAAACTACATGAAGTATTCTTTGATTTGATTGGTATGAAAAGAAAAGGCTTTAATACACATATTGAAAGAATTGAAGAGATACGGGCGTTGTTTTGATTGAGGCTCAAACATTTTTTGCTGCGAGGCAATATCATACAAAATGACTGTCCTTTTCTATTTTGATCAACGGATACCTTCTTATACTTGCGTTAAATGTGCAGGAATCATTTGTGGTTAGAATTTATCGGCTAAATATTCTGTACCGTATATTTTGTGGTCTAAAACGTGTACTGTTGATTAAATATGCGGATCACCAAACCGAGAGATTAATAGTTGTGGTAATGCCAACCTTTCCGTCTTTGTTGTTTAGCTATAAATCATCGACCTTATTTACTTCTACTTATTGAAGGCAAGCAAGTAGACCTATTTTTTTTTATTTAGTACTGCGTTTTCTTTTTCTTGGACACAAGCCTACCGAGACAAACTTCACTTCGAGCCATGTTGTTATGGGGTTGGCTGTCATTATAGGAGGATCCCAACCATTCTGTTGATGGTTTTTTTTCGAGGTAGTTCACGCCTACTTCCATTACAAAGCTAACTGAAAACCAATAAAACAACTCCTTTGGTCGAGTAACCTTGAGCTGAAGAAAAATGCGCTTTCTAGAAAATAATACTTGGAGTAATCAGAGATTAAAGGAGTGCGTTAGTCGTTTATACGATCCTTTGCATCTTTTTGCGCATGTGCAGAGATATAAATTTGATCAATGCCTACGTCAATATCCTTCATCGCTTCACTCAGCAAGACTCACGATTTAGGATTCTTTAATTAAGGCGAGCTGAATCATCACTTTCCAGTATTACATCGGCAGAGCAAAGTGAAGATGTCGAAGCTTATACCGAAGGGGGACTTAATTTTTTTTGTAAAAGGTCAACTAAGTTCATAGTTATCCATTGCTGGAGGATCTACAGTCAATTTGCTCGTACGTTTCTGGTTAGGAAGCCAGCCAAACACTAAGAAGATGTGGCTTTTAGTGTTGCTCTTTGTCCCGGTTTCCTCTCATTACTATCTGAATACAAGTGATCAGGGTAAGGAAAAAAGCATTTATTTGCATTTTCAGCTTCAAAACCTGACATTTAAATAGTTTGCCTGCTTCCCTCTATCTTCTATGAATTTCTTGTTTTAAAAACTTATTTTTGTTTTCAGTAAGAGTTCAAAAAGGTCAATGCGTGTTGTTTCGAACACTAACTCGAAATTTTGTATGTTACATCTTTTTTCGTGTAGGTGGAACAGTTTGTGAATTTCAAAAGTTCCGTTGTAGCTGATCTACGTTACAGTTAGTTTTTGTATTTTCAGCACGATAGATATTTATTTTAATGTTCACTGATATTTCTATTGTCCGCTTAACTACATGCATCATTTACAAATTCATTTTATCCACTGTGATTGCAAAGTATCCGTTTTCATAAAAACACAATTTATTTAAATGGCTACATGCTGAGATTCATTTTCTAGTGGGGCGAAAATAAAGACTGCAACCAATATAATTTTTTCCCCTTCGTCAGTTCTAGATTTCCGTACTTTCATTATTCATGTGATTCTCTCTCTCTGTCGCTTTTCGTTTAATCCCAAAATTTCGTGACACGATAACCTTATCTTGGCATCTTTAATTATCAGAATATTTATCATTTTTTCTTAAAGCTTGTATGATAATGTAAAAGCAAAATCTGCTCTCTTGCTTCCGTAAATGCCCTTCTTCATTCTCTTTCCAACTAGCTTTTTCCATCAAATGTTTTCATACGAGGTAAAATGTTTCGTTTTTAGGAAATATCATTTAAAATAGTAAAAAGGAAAATCGAACAGATATGATGTGCCTGAAACATAAATTTAGCTTTAGCTTATCTTGTACATCCGGTAGCAACCACTTTATTATTATTACTTTACTTCACTTTATTATTCGTTTTGTCTGCACTGCAACAGCTAGGGTTCCCTTTTACTCAGAAAGAGAAGGCTGCGGAATCTTAAACCCCCATTACTTTGTCAAGTGAGTTTTTGTTAAAACGTTTTCCCTCCAGTTGGTGGTATAAATCGATAAATATTGTCCTTAACGAAGGAAAATAAGTTCTATAGTTTTTCACTTGTTTAGGGTGGATTTAAGGGACTTTAGGGTGGATTTGACTGAATCTCCTGTAACTCAACAGCCCCCTACCTCTAGACTTTCCCAACCTTTGCATGTCGGTGCTTGCTTAAAATAAACCAGGTTAAGATTTTAACTGTCAAACAGACATTATTTAAAGAGTCCTCAGTCCTACTTGTCAACTTAGCTGCTTGTAAACTCTCTTATCTTGTTTTCAGTGAAGGGCAATTGGTGTGTATTTAGTTGGTGACGGTCAGTTGCAATTGGCTTTCAGTATAGCCACCTCGGTAATACGCACACTTCGTTATTACCGCCACTTGTTCTGGCCCGTCATACATTTTCTTGTAAAAAAAAAANACTAACTCGAAATTTTGTATGTTACATCTTTTTTCGTGTAGGTGGAACAGTTTGTGAATTTCAAAAGTTCCGTTGTAGCTGATCTACGTTACAGTTAGTTTTTGTATTTTCAGCACGATAGATATTTATTTTAATGTTCACTGATATTTCTATTGTCCGCTTAACTACATGCATCATTTACAAATTCATTTTATCCACTGTGATTGCAAAGTATCCGTTTTCATAAAAACACAATTTATTTAAATGGCTACATGCTGAGATTCATTTTCTAGTGGGGCGAAAATAAAGACTGCAACCAATATAATTTTTTCCCCTTCGTCAGTTCTAGATTTCCGTACTTTCATTATTCATGTGATTCTCTCTCTCTGTCGCTTTTCGTTTAATCCCAAAATTTCGTGACACGATAACCTTATCTTGGCATCTTTAATTATCAGAATATTTATCATTTTTTCTTAAAGCTTGTATGATAATGTAAAAGCAAAATCTGCTCTCTTGCTTCCGTAAATGCCCTTCTTCATTCTCTTTCCAACTAGCTTTTTCCATCAAATGTTTTCATACGAGGTAAAATGTTTCGTTTTTAGGAAATATCATTTAAAATAGTAAAAAGGAAAATCGAACAGATATGATGTGCCTGAAACATAAATTTAGCTTTAGCTTATCTTGTACATCCGGTAGCAACCACTTTATTATTATTACTTTACTTCACTTTATTATTCGTTTTGTCTGCACTGCAACAGCTAGGGTTCCCTTTTACTCAGAAAGAGAAGGCTGCGGAATCTTAAACCCCCATTACTTTGTCAAGTGAGTTTTTGTTAAAACGTTTTCCCTCCAGTTGGTGGTATAAATCGATAAATATTGTCCTTAACGAAGGAAAATAAGTTCTATAGTTTTTCACTTGTTTAGGGTGGATTTAAGGGACTTTAGGGTGGATTTGACTGAATCTCCTGTAACTCAACAGCCCCCTACCTCTAGACTTTCCCAACCTTTGCATGTCGGTGCTTGCTTAAAATAAACCAGGTTAAGATTTTAACTGTCAAACAGACATTATTTAAAGAGTCCTCAGTCCTACTTGTCAACTTAGCTGCTTGTAAACTCTCTTATCTTGTTTTCAGTGAAGGGCAATTGGTGTGTATTTAGTTGGTGACGGTCAGTTGCAATTGGCTTTCAGTATAGCCACCTCGGTAATACGCACACTTCGTTATTACCGCCACTTGTTCTGGCCCGTCATACATTTTCTTGTAAAAAAAAAAACCTTGTTAACGCGGTAATCCGTTATCACGGCCACCGGCCACATTATAGAAACCCAAACAGAAGAATCTTCTCATCAAACAGCCGATTTGTGTTTTCTTCAGTCAAAGGATTGTGTTTTCTTCAGTCAAGACTGACACAGCAGATTTCTTTCAAAATCGTGAATAGTATTGCACTATGATGTGCATGTAAAAAAAGACAAAGAGCCCAGGACTTCCGTTTTCAGAAGCACATAGGATGGGCTAGTGAGCTATTTGTCGTCAAGTTAACTCTTCGGCTTAAACCGGGTGCTAAAAAAACTAGCGTTGCTCCCTTTTTAATTTACTTTTTCGCGATTATTCCAACTCATTCATGTGAAATTAGTTGTAGCTGAAAAGAGGGCGAATCCGAAGAGGGGAGGATTACATTAGCGCTCAGATAGAATGGATGGAGAAAATTTATCGGCTTAGTTGGCGTTCACGTTCAATATGGAACTAGGAAAAAATGGTCACGGGAAGGAAGAGTACCGGAGTTGCGGGTAAAAAGTTGTTGTTCTGCCCATTAAGAGACCTGCTTGTTTGAGCTGCTCGTTAATGTCTTCGTCGTTACTGGTTAACTTCCTGTTGATTATGGTACGTGGTGATTCTCGCTCCCTGGCAAGGTTCATATCAGAGTTTGCTGCTATTCTCGGTCCTGTCACAGCTCCCAAATAATTCTCATGTGGGTGACTTGATATAATTTCCCTTTTTTATCAGTATGAGGTGCGAGGTTATCTCTTGCCCCAAACCATCAGAAAGGATTTTTGTCACCTGCAAATATCATGACTCTCATAGGTCATGTCTATTTTCAGTAAGTTAAACATTTAATATGATAATGTTAAATAGAACTCAAAGTTATCAGAGTTAACATTGTATTTTAATAATCTGACAGCCTGTTTTTTACGGTGGCCCAAAAGTGTCATGGCAATTTCAATTTGTTCCCAGCAATTTCAATTTACTCACGGCAATTTCAATTTTACTGACAGCAATTTCAATTTTGTTCACCGCGATTTCAATTTAATCAAGGCAATTTCAATTTTACTCACGACAATTTCAATTTGTTCGCGGCAATTTCAACTTACAGCAATTTCAATTTGCTCACTGCAATTTCAACTTACTCACGGCAATTTCAATTTGTTCACGGCAATTTCAACTTACTCACGGCAATTTCAATTTGCTCACGGCATTTTTCACTTCGCTCACCACTTGCCTTAGTGTCAGCTGCGGCGGCCGACAGTGGCCACCAAAAGTCAAAACGCAAAATCAAGAGTCGATATTTAAAGTCGATCTTCAAAGTGAAAAGTGACAATCAAAAATGAAAAGTCGATTCACGAAAACTTATGCCAGCAGACATTGAGTAGAGAACCGAAGAGTTTACTAGTCCCACAAAATTATAAGCTTCCTCAAACACTCATCTGGTGGCCTGTTAATATTTACTGCACAGCATCTCCAAATGGTGCAATCCGTCACATTAATCCCGAAGCATTTAAGCTACTTCTAAGTCTTGTTTACTGATGTTATTGATGGCAGTGTTCATATTTTTGCTAAGAAAAAGCAAAAATGGTATAGCCATACGAAGGAACATGCTATTTATGGACCCGGTCTGCGATTCGTTTTTTGTTTTACTGATGAGAACGGTTCGGTCTCAGACCGGCACGAAAGTAACTCGCGTCGGGTTAGCGACCAAGATGAAGTCAGACCAGTCTGAGTTCATTTTTAGGTCTATGAAATGTATGGAGACCGATACGAACTCATACCCATTGGTCTGATTCCCGATCTCAGCACAGTTCTTTCCTTTCCCGCACGTGCAAAATGAAATGAAATACAATTCAAGTGGCGAAAGGTTAATATGATAAGTAAGACTTTAAGGTTGACATGTTTGGGTGATAACTTTTCTTTGTAAGGTGAATGTCGTCATTACGTTAGGTGCAACTTCCGCTTTCCTTCATGATGTAATCAGACATACAATTGTAGCAAATAGAACACGGAAAAGATTACCAAAAACGGCAAAGAGTAAAGAAATCACGATTTTTGTCGCCAACACTTTTTTCATATTAGCGTAGTTGAATACATAAGTTGAGATTAGTTGATATAAACTTTTCAGGGAAGTAAAATACTATCGTACGTCAACCAGCCTGCGTTGCAGCCGGCCTATGAATCGTCTAGACTATTTGTATATACCGTCTGCGAATTAGAGCACAAAAGCTTGTTTTGATATCCATCGGAGTCGCAAAGACATATGTGAGCATTTGTGATAGGCAGGTTTCTTACGGGTGTCTCACGCGCCTCACGATTGACCCAATTCTTACGCGTGCGTGACGGTTGGGTGCAGTGACATGTCAAAATTCACAGAATGGAGTTGGCAAGGAGTTTTTCATACGGTGAACAATGAAAGAGCAGTTCGAACTTAAAAGCTTCTTCTGCACTAAAAGAAATGCGTTGAGAGTATTCCCTCAAGGCCAAAATGTGTTCGTAAATTGCCGACTGGTTTTCTGGGGTCTTCCAATCGCTGCAGATACACTGCCGCGTATTCTGCAATCTAGCCGACAGTTCTAGCGTCAAAGTAAATCAGGATATCATAATATTCACAGCCAAAACAAAAAACTATACACACGTAGCTATTCAGGTCCAGACATTTCGGAGAAAACCAAACTGAGAAACTGACCAGCTTCCAAAATGTGAGACTGGAAAATAAAATGATACTTTGCTCAGTCAAAATTTAGAATACTCCATGCATTGCATAATGTGCACTTAAGAGAGTAAGCAAGAAAAACCTCTGTTGTCCAAGCTGACTCTAAGGTCACGTTTCACACCATTCTCTCTTGTCACTAGCCATGGGTCATGTTTGGCCTGTCAACACTTTATTTCAAATCGAACTAAACACACACTGCATAAGAAACTAGCCAATCAAATGTCCTTGCGACTCTGCGGGATTCGAACTCGATATTGTGTACTAATTCGCAGACGCTCTATACAGAAGGTTTAGGGTGTCTGCGATGCAGGTTACCGTCAACTTATCCTAGTTAATTGGGAAAAAGTAAAAGTACAAAGTTGATTTCTTGTCATATATGTCATTAGACCATTTACACTGCATTACATTAGAGGACTTGCCATTCACTTATTACAAAATTGCAAAGAGTATTACAACAAAATTTTGATACAGGTGTTGGTTACAAACTGCGACAAGTTTATTAACCAATGCACGTTTGGCAGAAATAATTTTCATTTAACGAGAAGTCATTTCCATTGAACCTTAGAGTGGAAAACTTTGGATTTTTTTTATATCCAGATAAATATCGATTCGGATAACAATAACACAGCATGGAGACACATCTAAAAGTATGTTAATTTATAGGAAAAATTTTTATTGTTTAACATTAAGGTAGAAATGGGGTTTTTGGCATTCCTCGCAGTACCGGTCTTTTCACACTATTTTTACCAACTCAGCGACCAAGGTAACGAACACTAAAAACATTTTTTTTTTCGCTAGGTTTCGAAATAGCTTGTAATGGTGAAATATTAGGCGTAAAAATCTTTTGGAACAAATGAACTTGAATCGAGCACTCCTTTGAATCGGTTCTTCAGGCACGGCCTTTAAATTATATAAATTTCACATATTCATCCATACTTAATGTAGTAAGCTAGTAGTTGTGGAGGTGACTTAAGAGCACGTTACCAACTTCTTCATTGCTGATAAAGTGTACGGGAATGTTTTCATTTAAAAATTATTTTGTTGTGTTACCGAGAAAATAAAGGAGAACCTTTTTGTGGATCGATGTTAAATTGTTATAGTTAAAGTTGTTGGCATATCTTCCTTCTTTAGTTTTTCTGTTCCTTTTATCACCTGTCATATAATTTATCACTGATTTTTTCCTTTTGCAGCGAAAAAGCGTGTAGGAAAATTTGCTGATAACTGATAAGAGAGATAAATGTTACAAGGCAAACATCAGACTGAGACTAAAACAAGCATCCATGTTGTCGCCATGTTATCCATTCGGTTCCTTTAGATAAAAAGACGACGACGTCTTCGTCTACAGGAACTTGATCTTCTCAAAACAAAATGCAGTACTCGCCTGAGCCAGCTTTATTTTGGTGGGAAAACATGATAGCCGTCGGCATTTTACTACGGGTTTGTTGGGAAATTTTGATTTTTTGCCCTCGTTCAATTAAAAGCAACTTTCTAACTTTTCTGGTGAAAAGAAGTATAATTGAACCTTTCCAGGGCGTCGCCTTCTTGAGAGTACGCGAAAAAAGTTAGTTAAATCTCGTCTTCGTTGTCGTCGTCGTCCTGGAATCTAAAGGACTCTATTGATATGCCGCCGCAATAAGAGACGTATAATTGGCTTTTGAAACAAAGAGTTTGTGATTCAATGATCGTAACAACTTATGTTTACTTAAACAATTCATTTCAGAAACTCTCCGTCTAAGTTACTTTCAAACTAAAGCTGCAAAGGCTTCATTGAAATGGTTTGAAATTAATATTTTCGTCACATGACTTAAAGCGATAACGAAATTGGAGCAAATAAGGATAAAAGACCTCGTATTAAATTTAGAGTAGTTTGCCGAAAATTAAAGCCGATTATCTAGATCCTGAGTCGTCTAATAGGATTAAAGGGCGTACTATTGAGTGGGCACTGAAGAACTGAATATGGAAATTTAAGTTAATTTACTTTAGTTGCGAAATGAGGAAAAAAAATGTTGTGTGTAACTAACACTAATCGGTGTCCATTCGAGTGTGGTAGGAAATACAAGACAACACAAAAACAAATAATGCTGGCACCTCTTTTTTTAGGTTAATATGAAGAGCGGAAATTTTGTTGGAAATTGATGATATCATTTAATTACTTTCGGCATATTCAGAATAACGTGATTTACTTGTTTTATGTGAATTCGACCATTACTGTTTTTGAAATAACCACAAGACATTGCTGTATGTTCGACTTCTGTTCAGAGAACTCTGATTTTGTCCTTTACCAATCCTTAAAAGATAGCTAATTGAGCATTGGATATCCTGGGAAATAATACAGGAAACCTTATCAGCCCGTTCGTTAAGATTATCCTTTTTCTGGTGTTGATCAATTTAAGCCTTTATTTCTTGCTATCGTACATGTAAAATAATCTAATAAAACAATGTAGCACGTACTAGAACTAGAATTGATTTGAAACAATTTCCTTCACGTGACATGCAGGGGTAACATGTGCAACATAGTAAGCATGATCCGAATCGTTCAATTTGGGATGAATATATTTCTGTGGCTTCTGTGGATTTTTTGTTATATATTTTTTTAAGTTTTCCAGATGTGCATGTTCACAAGTAGTCTTTACATTAGATGTTCATCCTAATTAGCTTTCTAATATTTCTGCCAGCCTGCCCCGTACCTTCTCTAAGGCCGAATTCAAATTCCTGGGCTGACTTTTAAGTTACACGATTTTACAGAGTATAAGGTGGATAGTATGCCTACTGAATATTTATGAGCTTTTGAAGAAACCACAGAAACCCAGAGCCGGAGTCAGTATGTACGATAGGCAGGGAAAGCCTCTTTTTCAAAATATCGGACACATTTATGCAAGTTTTTCATGAATTCAATAAAAATGCTTTTCATTTACAGAGGCAAATCCGGCACCGAAGAGCACTGCAATGTTCATGAGCAACCGCAAACCACGGATATGTAAAAATTACTCAATCTTCCTTTGTTTTAGTCAACTGCTGCGCCCATTAGACGATGTTTTTGAGTACAGTGCTGACGAGGGAAGGAAATGATTCCTAAAATTCGGCACAAATTGACCGCAAGCTGAATGGACTAACAGCAGGGTCCACAATATTTTTTGTCTGCGGCTTTTAGTAACCTGTTCGATATCCGTCTCAAAGTCTTTTTCAGTTTTAAAACACTTTTACCAGCCCGGCTTCGGTGGGAAACTCTTGTCTATTCCTCTTCAAGTGTTATTGGTGGCATACGATAGGATTGTTTCAATTTTTATTCCCGTTTGGAGTTTCTGTTGTTATACATTTTCGTGGATAAAGAAAAAAAAAACCACAAGACATAAAAATATGACTATTCGTGTATACTTCGAGTACTGCCATGAACTTGAAACAAATCCCTTTTTAGCCCAAATATAAACGAACAACAGATCGTTCCAGCGTAACGGCTGTTGATTGAACCCATGAAGCCGGTTATAAGGATCCATCAGCATGCGTATTATACCTAGTAGTTTAATTCGCGCTTGTGCGTAGTGCCACGATTTGTGATCTTGTCTTCATAAGCCTTTTCAGCGGACTTAAACAAAATACATGTGCAGTAAAATACATGTGCACTTGTCACGTGTATGCGTGAATAGTGCTCGTTTAAATGCGTGCGCAACCGTGCTGGGGCAAAGCACGTACTTCACAAAATGCGTGAAATGTTTAACGATATTCCTTTGGGTCGTCCACGTAATGTTTCCACTCTTTCGTCTAAAAGGAAAAAAGATACAACGATTTGAATGATTTCACTGTGGCGAAATGAGAGTTTTTTGGGCAGTGATTTGGAGCCTTTTTGTCAGTAAATGCAAACCACGGGATGTTGTGGAAGCCCGTTCTTCCCTGTCAAATTTAACAGGTTTTTCGCCATAATTGGCGCTAATCAGATCTGATAAATTACCTTATAAAACCCTTAATATTTAGCGCATTAACATTGACCGCACTATTTTCTTTTCAGCAAATTGTCGCAGACCTCTCGGGATGGCGAGTGGGGAAATCCGAAACGAACAAATCACAGTCTCGTCGGCATTCAACAACGACTACTCGACGTTCGGTGCGCATCGCGCACGTTTAAATCTCACCAGCTGGCCGCCAGGGTATCGAGCCGATTCGAAACAAGACACTGGATGGATAAAAGTAGAATTGGAGAAGAAAATGGTGATAACTGCCATTGCTACCCAGGGTTACGGGGATTCTAGCGTAGAAGAGTGGATTTCACGATATATGGTTATGTTCTCCAATGGAGGAGACTTTATGTATTTCAAAGATCTGGACGGTAATCTTCAGGTATGTTTCGTCTTGTACCGTTTACCGATAAACAGTACGTGTACTGTTTTTTAGTTTTCTACTCACATTTTGATTAAGACGACCTAAACGGCTCACCTTTACCGAATCTGTGAGCGTTGATTGTTTGCCTCTTTGCGTGTTGATATAAGGGTAGATAATCAGATATCGTTCATCACTTTGGCTTTATACGGATACATGAATTAAATGCCGTACTTCATCACGTGCTTATTTTATATGTATATATGTATTGAAAAAATGCTCCTATTTTTATATAACGCTGTAAGTTTATTCTATCTCATTGTATTGATAAAATAACGATAAATTTCTTCTGATTTATAACCTAAATTTAAAAGGCTGGACGGTACTTTATCTGACATATTATGTCATGTTTTGTACCAGTAATCATTTCACTCACAATTGCCGCGATTAGGGTTGTCCAAGATTTGAAGATTTTATTCTCTTTACTCTGAAAACCGTAGAAGTGGAGCCTTTTTATTTGATATTTTTGTTTGCTTAAACAATTCTTGGAGACTGTAGTTTGCAAACTTGCACTTTTACGAAAAAATTATTTTGGCTTTGTACGACACAATAGAAACTTGCTGTCAACATAACGAAGTTAATATTTAATGCACTGGTTGGAAAATCCTCTGCCGCATCTTATTTGAAAAGAAAGCAAATGATAAATTAAAAAAAATAATGCAATTACTGTTAAAATTTCCATAAGTTCTGGAAATATTTCTGCTGTGTTTATTAAAACGCCCGTCATTGTGCGTTGTTTAAGAGTAAGGCGGTGAATGGAGCTAGACAAATGAATTTTGAATTGTTTCGTCTTTCATGTCAGCCTGCGGTGAAATTGTGATTTAGATCCAACTAATGTAATTTTCGAACCATCCAGAATAGTTCCAATGTTGTTATTTTAAATGACCGTAGCAAAATATTCTTGTAAACCAGACAGTTTAACTCGTACATGGAATCTTGTATTAATTATTTGATACCCCTGGTGAATATTGACGTCGGATAATGTTCAAAACTGACGAGTTCGCAGTGACCCTTGGTTTCGGCATTTGTGTTGTTCGTTTGTAAACAATTCTTTTGTTTTGTACTGGTACTTAACAAAAAATAAAAATACGGGAAGGCTTGAAGGCGGTTTTTTAAATTTTCCTTTATTAAAAAATTTTTTTTTTTGCATGGGTCCAACTGTGTAACTCATGCCGAGTTTAGCTGGTGAGCACCAAGCAACTTTTTCCCGCGCTTTGACGTGTCACGAAAATTGTATCAATATACCTTCGGAAGGTTCATTACAGAGAATAATACCCCTATTTGAGGAACACCCTTCACAGCGAAAACGTTACTCCTTATCACCATCGGCAGAAAGATAATTTAAAAGTAAATAAACTCTTTTCGATGGCATTTGTTTACATCACGTTAATCCGTTAGCACCTTACAGAGCTATCGCCCTTTCATACCAGGCAAACGTCAATTCTTTTTAAACCACGTTTTTGTGGTGAGTAGATTATTTTCGTTATGCTATTGTTTTTGTAAATCACCACCGAGATTAATTACAGTATTAGTTACAACTGCTCACTAAACATTAAATTCGGTAACAGAAATTAAAATTGCTGAAGAAAAACCTACCATGTTTTTAACTTACACAGTTAGCCTATTGTAGTTTTATTTAACGATGTACTCTTTTTGATTCACATTACATTTCAGATCATCATTTTTACTTTCCATTGGTATAACTGTGTTCTTTGTGCAATTCATTTGTACTTTACATTGAGTACATGCATTTAAGCCATTCATTTTTTTATTGCAAAAAAGAGCGGAATGTTCTAACAGTGATTCAGATCGCAAAATGTGATCATGAAGAGAGGAAATGAAACTTTAAATTTGCAAATCGTGTCAAATAAATATTAGCTGCCTTCCTGTTGCTATTGTAAGAGAAGCTTTTAAACAACTGACTTCAAACCCCTCTTTTTGACTTAAAGAAAACGTTTCCATGAGAGAACTGTTGAAACGAGCTTAATCGAATGGCTACGCCACTTAGTTTCGTCTACCGAGCAAAATGAAAGCTGTAATTATATTGATATGAAAAACATGACTCAATTGCCTTTCTAACACTTATGATTTCATTTAAAACCCAAACAAATGTAGTGATAGCGGTATTTTATTTTCTAACAAAATCGAAGTTGAGGAAAAAATGGGTTGAAGTATTAGTTCGGCTAAACAGAAAAAAAAAAAAAACAAAGAAGCTAGATTTATCTGATAAAGAATTAAAAATTGTGGTTTATGATGAAGTAATTTAGAACAGATTTCCAACGACACGGTTTTATTTTTGCAAAGTACAAACTGAAACCTTTAGGAAAATTTAAAGGAATGATCGATTTTCTTTTTGTACGGTGAATTTTCACCATTTTAGTTTTCCAAACCAAGAAAAAAAAATTGAATAGTAAACAGCTTAATGAGCATCTTGTCTAAATAAAGAAGGTCATACTTAGAAGGAGGAAATGGAGTACGACCAAAGAGGTTTTTTTTATTAGGATATTCGCGAAAGAGGAATCTCGTCGAACCTAAATTCGTGTTTCGAATGTGTCAAGTCGTGAACATTCCAGCTGTTAATAAGTAAGCTTAAGAAGTGAGGCTGTACGGTAAGGCTGAGACCTCTGTCCAAAGAACTTTCTTAACTCTCGCTAAATTAAGGAGACTCACTCTTTAAAGTAGACTTTTTGTCTCACTAAGAGTTTTAGACGTCACAAGAGTTTTATCCTTTCTTTCCTCTGTGTTTTCACTGTTACGCCGTCAAAAATAAAAATGCAAACCAGTCAATACAGAAAGTCCAGAATCTGGAAAATGAAGAAAATAAATATACAAAAAGCCTCGCTAAGAATCGGGTCTGTGCGAGATATTCGGAAAAACGTTTTACCCAAATTTGTAAAGGTTTGGAAATGCCATGTTGGTGTACGTCCCTTTGAGAGGCACAAATATGGCCGCCGGAAACCAACAGAAACATCTTTTCCTACTTATGCGTGAATTCATCAGTTGAGGAACTCATAAAGGTTTAAGTAATATTTTCTCTAAGACAAGGAATGTTTAGATAGCAAAATCTCAAAAAATCAGTGACGTTTTTGATCCACATAAGAGCTTTCCCGGCTGCGAGCTAAATGCCGTGTCACGTAAAAGCCTGGAAATTCAAACGTCTTCTATCGCAAAACGAAGAATCTTGTGGAACCGAAAATTTGCGTAATCATAGGTTTTTAGGTGCTGTAATACCTCATGAAGGTAGAAACTCAGAAGAATCGATAGTTCAGTTCTTAGTTTGAATTTTAGTTACGTCATGTGAAAACCCCTAATAGGAATGAACAAAGTCTTAGGACGGGCGACACCTTTGTAAAGAGTACTGCACCACTGTAGGGTGGGTGGGTGTTAGCAATTTTAGCGGGGCGTTTAACACTTCTAACCTTGGAAGTTTCGGCTCAAGCCTTATCATAATGTTGCTTTCTAAAATAAGTTGCCTTGTTTTGCGTCTTCACCTCGTTTAGCTCACTGTGTTATGGGTTAGAAAGGGTCTTTTAATAAAGGCCAGAGTGGATTTTTTTTTTCAGACTTTCACTCACTACATTGTTGTCTGTTTTGTATCCACAGACTTTTCCTGGGAACAGAGACAGCTATTCCATTCAACGAAACGAAGTTGCATTACCCGTTGTTGCAAATTCAATCATGATCATGGAAATGTCTCGACATAATAACTTTGCTATGCGGATGGAATTATACGGCTGCGAGCCAGGTTAGTCATATTTTTTTTAATCGTCGGTCTAAAGATTTTGTCTTGATAAAGATTTGGCTGGGGTTGCATCACATACTAATATAGGGGACATATCAAGTGCAGATGTCCGGAGTTTGCCACTCTAATGTGACCGAGTGTAGCAGTTAACGACCAACATGTACTCGGTCGAACAAAAACAAAACAAAAAAAAATCGCTCTAGGGTTGAGTTTGCTTTTTCCATTTTCACAAGTTTGTGATTGAATAGATTATTCAACTTTTGCTATGGGTTTCAGGGGTCACTTAAAAGAGAAAAAGAAATTGAAGATCTCCTTATAGTAAATCGCCGGTTTTTACAGTTCATGCTGATTTTTTTGCCCCGCTAATCCTCTGGATTAGTAGCGGGTAAGAAAGATGCGGTTTGTACGAAAACTTGTTATTATTTACTTAGGCAATGAATTTTACTACAGGGCGTCCAGTTTCAAACAGATTCCTCGAAATCATTATATAACGATTGTGTGGGAATTTATAATGAGTTCGATAAAACTGTAAAAGCGTAAAAAATAAACAGCTGTTATAGTGCACTAATCTCTTAAAGAGATGTCTTTGCCCTCGTTTATAAAACAGCCGAGGTTTAAACCGACAACCTGTGGTTTTCCCGCCACTTCTTTGGAAACAGTTTAGAGGTTTCCCCTGGATACCCTTGTGAATATCGTTTTGTATGAGTTGATTTTTCCCCTGTCCATCCCCGTCTATGTGGATTTTGATCAGGCGGGGTGGCTACTAAGCCAAAAGCGATTTCGAAGGAAGGCCCAAGGACGAAGGCGCCATGTTCAAAATTTCTTTTCTTCATTTTGTAATATTTCTCGTTTTCTTGAGGTCATGGCACAATATATGGAACTGATTGACGTTTTTTTAGAGAGGAAAACCTTCAGTTTACGCTCAGGCGAAAATTTTTGAGCGATTGGAGCCGCCCGAAGACAGTTCAAAGCTGAAGCGTCTCTTGCATTCTTCTTAGTAGATAAAAAAAACCCCAGATCTTCAAAACTTACTAAAACGGTATTGATAAGGTAGGAAACAGTAAGAAACATCACAAAGATATATCTTTTAATAGGCATTTTTAGTGTAAATTTTGATGGCCTTTTACCTTGATTGGTGTTTTATCTATCAAGCTCACGACGAATTCTCATACTCATGATTTGGCTTTGGGGTTTCTGTTATGAGCGTGGGTACCCTGTGGAAGCGGAAACAAAAGGAGGACAAGTTCATTGAAACGGGAAAATAGGCAAAGAAATTGGTTCCTTCTGTTCCTTCTGAGGCAGCAGTTACGTACAACAAAAGGAACAATACAGCTAAGCAATAAAGCCACCAGGGGAGCTCTATTGTTTGGTTCCTTTGTTTCTTTTGCGAAGACCCTGCTGCAGCAAATTTAATCGTACTTTGGACAACCTTGTTTGAATTTGTTTGGTAAGACCTCCGTACAACCCCTTCATTAACTATACATACACCCAAGGTTCAGAGAAAACAAAAGTCAGAACAATTTTAAGCCTTTGGATTTCAGCTATTTTTGTTTTAATAAGTTTTATTTAAACCAGTGGGCCTGAAAATCGTCTTACACTTTTAACGTCAAAAGTTTCTTCACTTTGTTTACTTACGCTGTGGCTGGTGATATATCTGCTGCTCGTGATATGAAGTGCCTTTTTATACTGATGTCTTGTTTTGCTTGACAGGTTATTATTTTGTTGTTTGGCTGATGATGACGGATTACATTTTTAAAACCGATTACCTGGATAGTGAAACAGCTGACTACCAGCTTATGACAAAATACGTGGTGTATGAGGTGAATTGAATTGTTTATTTGTTTTATTCACTTCTTGGTTTGATTTGAACATCATGATTGAGCATATTAACAATATGAAATCGCTCCAGTTTTTGCTTTGACCATGACTTGCCCTTGCTGTTGCAATGTCAGTAACTTTCAGTCTATTCTTGACTAGACTGACACGAATGATCATATATGGCTGCTTGGTTCAGATCTTTTTGAGAGATGTTGTTTTTTTACCTCACAAAAAGGAAAGAAAGGGTAGAAATTGAGACCTTTTTTATAACTGCAAAATTAATGCTTGCATTTAGTCCTGTCTGGAGTCTATTCGTTTCGGTAGTAAAACAGAATCTAGCAAAACAGAACAATAACGTTCGAAATGATTAAAACGTCATGCTGATTATGTATGAATATATCTTTATTTTTATTATTTTAGACTAAAGCTGCTCTGAAAAGTTCTCCCGGATTTCTTTCCGCAAAACTAGTTCGGTTCACGTAAGTGTTTGAATATTTTCACCTACACTGTATGTTAGCTTAGCTTTTCGTTGGTCTCACGATGGTCACTTTATTGGCCTGACTTAATTCGCTGACTGCTAGTACGCCTGGTTGTTGATTGGAAATCTGGGTCGGTGCTTGATGGTTTAGACTGTGTTTTTTTCCTCTATACTTTATCTCTGGCACACGAAATGTCTATATAGTGTTGTAACATAGCGCGCGTACTTGCCCCGTATGAGTCCTATTGAGCCGCTATAAACAATGAACAAAATCTCTTTTTTCGCACGCCCCTGCGTAAATACAGATTTTTTTAATTATGACGTGTCCAGTCGTGTTTTTCGTCTCTTTTCCTAAGTACTAAGTACCCAAAAATCTACGGCAATGATGAAAACCTTTCTAGCATTTTTGGAAATTAGCTTCTAGCCACTCAAACCAACAGCAAAAGCGGTGAAGATGTTTCGCAAATAATAGAGCCTGAGTCGTTGAAAATTAAGTCTCCCGTAAAGAATAATCCAGGGGCTTAGCTAGAAAATAGTGCGATTTTGATACAAGCGCCAAACTTTGTAGGAATCTTTACAGTCCCAGGCTTGTCATTTCCTGATATAGTGTCAACCTCAATTTTTAGCTCATGGATGACGTAGTCATGCCATGGGCTTTTGGAGGCACTCGAATGGCACTCGATCACTCACTCACTCACTCACTCACTCACTCACTCACTCACTCACTCACTCACTCACTCACTCACTCATACGTAAAAGCCTGGAAATTCAAACGTCTTCTATCGCAAAACGAAGAATCTTGTGGAACCGAAAATTTGCGTAATCATAGGTTTTTAGGTGCTGTAATACCTCATGAAGGTAGAAACTCAGAAGAATCGATAGTTCAGTTCTTAGTTTGAATTTTAGTTACGTCATGTGAAAACCCCTAATAGGAATGAACAAAGTCTTAGGACGGGCGACACCTTTGTAAAGAGTACTGCACCACTGTAGGGTGGGTGGGTGTTAGCAATTTTAGCGGGGCGTTTAACACTTCTAACCTTGGAAGTTTCGGCTCAAGCCTTATCATAATGTTGCTTTCTAAAATAAGTTGCCTTGTTTTGCGTCTTCACCTCGTTTAGCTCACTGTGTTATGGGTTAGAAAGGGTCTTTTAATAAAGGCCAGAGTGGATTTTTTTTTTCAGACTTTCACTCACTACATTGTTGTCTGTTTTGTATCCACAGACTTTTCCTGGGAACAGAGACAGCTATTCCATTCAACGAAACGAAGTTGCATTACCCGTTGTTGCAAATTCAATCATGATCATGGAAATGTCTCGACATAATAACTTTGCTATGCGGATGGAATTATACGGCTGCGAGCCAGGTTAGTCATATTTTTTTTAATCGTCGGTCTAAAGATTTTGTCTTGATAAAGATTTGGCTGGGGTTGCATCACATACTAATATAGGGGACATATCAAGTGCAGATGTCCGGAGTTTGCCACTCTAATGTGACCGAGTGTAGCAGTTAACGACCAACATGTACTCGGTCGAACAAAAACAAAACAAAAAAAAATCGCTCTAGGGTTGAGTTTGCTTTTTCCATTTTCACAAGTTTGTGATTGAATAGATTATTCAACTTTTGCTATGGGTTTCAGGGGTCACTTAAAAGAGAAAAAGAAATTGAAGATCTCCTTATAGTAAATCGCCGGTTTTTACAGTTCATGCTGATTTTTTTGCCCCGCTAATCCTCTGGATTAGTAGCGGGTAAGAAAGATGCGGTTTGTACGAAAACTTGTTATTATTTACTTAGGCAATGAATTTTACTACAGGGCGTCCAGTTTCAAACAGATTCCTCGAAATCATTATATAACGATTGTGTGGGAATTTATAATGAGTTCGATAAAACTGTAAAAGCGTAAAAAATAAACAGCTGTTATAGTGCACTAATCTCTTAAAGAGATGTCTTTGCCCTCGTTTATAAAACAGCCGAGGTTTAAACCGACAACCTGTGGTTTTCCCGCCACTTCTTTGGAAACAGTTTAGAGGTTTCCCCTGGATACCCTTGTGAATATCGTTTTGTATGAGTTGATTTTTCCCCTGTCCATCCCCGTCTATGTGGATTTTGATCAGGCGGGGTGGCTACTAAGCCAAAAGCGATTTCGAAGGAAGGCCCAAGGACGAAGGCGCCATGTTCAAAATTTCTTTTCTTCATTTTGTAATATTTCTCGTTTTCTTGAGGTCATGGCACAATATATGGAACTGATTGACGTTTTTTTAGAGAGGAAAACCTTCAGTTTACGCTCAGGCGAAAATTTTTGAGTGATTGGAGCCGCCCGAAGACAGTTCAAAGCTGAAGCGTCTCTTGCATTCTTCTTAGTAGATAAAAAAAACCCCAGATCTTCAAAACTTACTAAAACGGTATTGATAAGGTAGGAAACAGTAAGAAACATCACAAAGATATATCTTTTAATAGGCATTTTTAGTGTAAATTTTGATGGCCTTTTACCTTGATTGGTGTTTTATCTATCAAGCTCACGACGAATTCTCATACTCATGATTTGGCTTTGGGGTTTCTGTTATGAGCGTGGGTACCCTGTGGAAGCGGAAACAAAAGGAGGACAAGTTCATTGAAACGGGAAAATAGGCAAAGAAATTGGTTCCTTCTGTTCCTTCTGAGGCAGCAGTTACGTACAACAAAAGGAACAATACAGCTAAGCAATAAAGCCACCAGGGGAGCTCTATTGTTTGGTTCCTTTGTTTCTTTTGCGAAGACCCTGCTGCAGCAAATTTAATCGTACTTTGGACAACCTTGTTTGAATTTGTTTGGTAAGACCTCCGTACAACCCCTTCATTAACTATACATACACCCAAGGTTCAGAGAAAACAAAAGTCAGAACAATTTTAAGCCTTTGGATTTCAGCTATTTTTGTTTTAATAAGTTTTATTTAAACCAGTGGGCCTGAAAATCGTCTTACACTTTTAACGTCAAAAGTTTCTTCACTTTGTTTACTTACGCTGTGGCTGGTGATATATCTGCTGCTCGTGATATGAAGTGCCTTTTTATACTGATGTCTTGTTTTGCTTGACAGGTTATTATTTTGTTGTTTGGCTGATGATGACGGATTACATTTTTAAAACCGATTACCTGGATAGTGAAACAGCTGACTACCAGCTTATGACAAAATACGTGGTGTATGAGGTGAATTGAATTGTTTATTTGTTTTATTCACTTCTTGGTTTGATTTGAACATCATGATTGAGCATATTAACAATATGAAATCGCTCCAGTTTTTGCTTTGACCATGACTTGCCCTTGCTGTTGCAATGTCAGTAACTTTCAGTCTATTCTTGACTAGACTGACACGAATGATCATATATGGCTGCTTGGTTCAGATCTTTTTGAGAGATGTTGTTTTTTTACCTCACAAAAAGGAAAGAAAGGGTAGAAATTGAGACCTTTTTTATAACTGCAAAATTAATGCTTGCATTTAGTCCTGTCTGGAGTCTATTCGTTTCGGTAGTAAAACAGAATCTAGCAAAACAGAACAATAACGTTCGAAATGATTAAAACGTCATGCTGATTATGTATGAATATATCTTTATTTTTATTATTTTAGACTAAAGCTGCTCTGAAAAGTTCTCCCGGATTTCTTTCCGCAAAACTAGTTCGGTTCACGTAAGTGTTTGAATATTTTCACCTACACTGTATGTTAGCTTAGCTTTTCGTTGGTCTCACGATGGTCACTTTATTGGCCTGACTTAATTCGCTGACTGCTAGTACGCCTGGTTGTTGATTGGAAATCTGGGTCGGTGCTTGATGGTTTAGACTGTGTTTTTTTCCTCTATACTTTATCTCTGGCACACGAAATGTCTATATAGTGTTGTAACATAGCGCGCGTACTTGCCCCGTATGAGTCCTATTGAGCCGCTATAAACAATGAACAAAATCTCTTTTTTCGCACGCCCCTGCGTAAATACAGATTTTTTTAATTATGACGAGTCCAGTCGTGTTTTTCGTCTCTTTTCCTAAGTACTAAGTACCCAAAAATCTACGGCAATGATGAAAACCTTTCTAGCATTTTGGAAATTAGCTTCTAGCCACTCAAACCAACAGCAAAAGCGGTGAAGATGTTTCGCAAATAATAGAGCCTGAGTCGTTGAAAATTAAGTCTCCCGTAAAGAATAATCCAGGGGCTTAGCTAGAAAATAGTGCGATTTTGATACAAGCGCCAAACTTTGTAGGAATCTTTACAGTCCCAGGCTTGTCATTTCCTGATATAGTGTCAACCTCAATTTTTAGCTCATGGATGACGTAGTCATGCCATGGGCTTTTGGAGGCACTCGAATGGCACTCGCTCACTCACTCACTCACTCACTCACTCACTCACTCACTCACTCACTCACTCACTCACTCACTCACTCACTCACTCACTCACTCACTCACTCACTCACTCACTCACTCACTCACTCACTCACTCACTCACTCACTCACTCACTCACTCACTCACTCACTCACTCACTCACTCACTCACTCACTCACTCACTCACTCACTCACTCACTCACTCACTCACTCACTCACTCACTCACTCACTCACTCACTCACTCACTCACTCACTCACTCACTCACTCACTCACTCACTCACTCACTCACTCACTCACTCACTCACTCACTCACTCACTCACTCACTCACTCACTCACTCACTCACTCACTCACTCACTCACTCACTCACTCACTCACTCACTCACTCACTCACTCACTCACTCACTCACTCACTCACTCACTCACTCACTCACTCACTCACTCACTCACTCACTCACTCACTCACTCACTCACTCACTCACTCACTCACTCACTCACTCACTCACTCACTCACTCACTCACTCACTCACTCACTCACTCACTCACTCACTCACTCACTCACTCACTCACTCACTCACTCACTCACTCACTCACTCACTCACTCACTCACTCACTCACTCACTCACTCGATTCTCATTAATTTACTCATTAAAGTCAGATTAAGCACGTTACTCCTACCTCCCTTACTTAGTATTACTTTTTTTCCAAATGCCTTTTACGTATATGTTTGGAATATTCTAGAGGGTACTAGTAAGGCGAATTTTTTTCCCGACACATCAGTTATAGAGATGGGTTTTGTATAAATGGAAATATTCTAAAGAACACTGATAATATCATCCGCAAGAAATGGGCTTAGAATTGTTAAAAGGACTTTGAAATAATTTAGCGTGGATCATTGTTGTATATATGGACGAATTGTGCACATTTGTTCCCGATATTGTACTTGATATTGGAGAAGATGCGATCAACAGGAGTGTGAAAGAGCTATTGCAGCCTGACGATGGGATTTCGTTCAGCGAAAAGCGAATAAGCCAAAGAGCCTTATAATCGCTGCAAAAAAACGGTCCTCGAATTGTCAAAGCGACATTGAGGAGTATCTATTGAGGTTTGTTCAGTTATTTGGACGAATCCGTTCGACCATTTGTCTTCGTATGCAACTGAACAGGGAATGAATTAATGTTGTGTCAACTAGAAGCACAGGTTTTAGAACCAACAAGCGTTACGCTATTTTGCTTGAATTCTTAGGTGACCTTTGCCTTAAAGTAGGCTTTTGTTTGTCGGTGATTCCATTTAGCAGTGCTATTAATGTAATTTCTACAAGAAATGCTGCGCTGGTATAAACAAGTCTCTGGCGAAAGGCAATCGGATACTTCGCCTGCGTTTAAATTACTTGGCTAGGTCAGAGCACGAACTGCTTTGAGCTTAATCCGTTTTACATGTATTAAAATAATTTTTAGCTCGTGTTTATCAAAAGCGCGTTCTAAAGCAGTTCAATTTAGCCATAAACGCCTGTATTCTGTATTTAATATAGCTTGTACTGCATATACTAACCGTTACGTACTCATCATATGGAGACATTTATTTGAAAGCATCGCACTTTCAAAACNAGTAGGCTTTTGTTTGTCGGTGATTCCATTTAGCAGTGCTATTAATGTAATTTCTACAAGAAATGCTGCGCTGGTATAAACAAGTCTCTGGCGAAAGGCAATCGGATACTTCGCCTGCGTTTAAATTACTTGGCTAGGTCAGAGCACGAACTGCTTTGAGCTTAATCCGTTTTACATGTATTAAAATAATTTTTAGCTCGTGTTTATCAAAAGCGCGTTCTAAAGCAGTTCAATTTAGCCATAAACGCCTGTATTCTGTATTTAATATAGCTTGTACTGCATATACTAACCGTTACGTACTCATCATATGGAGACATTTATTTGAAAGCATCGCACTTTCAAAACGACGGTTTAAATAAAACTCATGTATGTAAAACTTGGCTATTTTACAAGAAAGTGCACTGTCGTTCGGAAACTGTTTGACAGTCACATGAGAAAGCAAATTATTTTACAACTAAAAAGCGTTAATAATTGCTTTGAAGAGTGATCTTTGCTTTGTAAGTAGAAATGCTGCGCTGATAAAAAGTTTCTAGAATATTCAGGTGCACATGCAATTGGATACTTCGAGTCACGCTGTATTTTGGCAAGTCCGTACACAATGAACCGTTAAAAAAGATTTATATGTTTTTCTTTGATTATTGAACTGTCTTTTCTACACTAATTCAATTCATCCATGAGCTCGCTCCTAGGAGCCTTTGATTCAATTCCAGCTAGTTAGCAGCGAATGAAATTTTCATGCCCGACCCCCCCCCCTTCCCCGCGAAGTTATTTTTCTTGTTCTGTTTTAGATTGAAAGTGCCCATAACGAATTTTTTTTTCTTTTCTCATCCAAATCTACACATCAAGCAATGACGTTTCCGTTTATTTTGATTCCGACCAAAAGCGATTTTTTCAAGTCTTCGAAATTTGCCGCCATTTTGTTCCACCATTTGCATTAATCTCCTCTCGGTTGGACTGGAGCCGTGACGTTGGTTCAAGAACTCTTATTCCTCTCAAGCCAAGTGATTTGGTTGTATCTTTCTCGATCATGGAAAATATACCGTGGAAAATGCCTGAGAGTTGTGTTGCAGCACGTTGCAAAAGGTCGCTGACCCTAAGACGAATATATCGATGCATAAGATTCCGTTCTTTGGCGAGGAATGCCGGATAAAGAAGAAAAGAAGAAAGGCATGGATCAATTTTGTGTTGGAGAGGAGAAAGATGTGGTTGCCGGGGAAGACGTTTTATTTCAAAATACACGTACAACAATACAGATGTTTAAATTTGGATGCGAATTTTCATTGTTAATCTCTCCTCTTCATATATATAAACGCAGGCCATATTTTGGAATTTATCTGCCCATGCTTTTTCTCCCTTTTCTCTTGGTTGAGTTGGTTCGGATGGTAAAAGTTTGTGCTATCTCATTCAAAATATGCATGCGACTCGGTTTAGCAAGAAAAAAAAACAATCCTACTCATATAAAAGAGAAAATCGTCGGTTATGCTAAAAAAAATGAAGTAAGGAAAAGGCTAATTTGAAGACGAAGGAAACAGGTAGCTGCCTCAAGCAGTTGACTGGTTTCAGTGTGTTATTTGCCAGATGGAAGTACCTGAAAACCCTCACTGTCCTGTTAACTGGAAAGGGCACTACTCTTGCTTGTGCTGGATATATTATTTTTGAAAAAGACTTAACTTCATTTTATGAAATGAAAAAATGAAATTTAGCCGTTGACCGCAGGGGAAATGTTTTGACATGGAAATGGAATTCAGCTTCCATATTATCAAGACGTTTGCTATGTGGCAAAACTCTCGTCACGATGCGTTCAACAGGACGAAACCGGATCGCATGATGAAAAGAAAAATTCCTGTAACTAATCCACAGCATCAAACGCACACGGTCAAGAATGCGTCTGTTTTCGCGGAGAAGAAGGAGACATTAAAATGATAGTCGTTGTAGCTAATGTAGTAGAAAATTTTCACTAGTCAATCATGATTCGAAATTCAGCGCATTTTTTCGCTCCGTTTTCCCCACTATCTTGGAGCCTGACCTAGGCTCATTTGTACTTGAAGGAATTTTGAGTGTCCTATGGGACAGGAAATATCATACCTACACTCTTTCCAAAAGCCTTTGGTCCATCTAACTCGACGTTTCTCCTTGTCTTCTATGCCGTAACAGTGTGTGATTTATACAGCTTCCTTCTCTGCTGGTTATAGAATTGCCATTAAAAGGAAGTAATTGTTATTATTAAAATAATGAAGAAACATAAGGGTCACTGTGCTTGTTTTTGCGGTAGAACTGCAGATAGTGCGCACCACCTGCATTTCTTGCGATTTTTGAGGGAGGATTGGGGCGAGTTTCAAAGCGGCATGTATGTGGAAGGTGCAAGAAAGCATTGAAAAATTCGTTTTTATGGAATTTACATCGAGATAAAGCAATTAAGACACAATGAGATAAAGATGAAGCTTTAAAGTCATGAAAGTAGTGATTCAGCACAACATCCATTATCGAAGGCCTCAGTTAGGAAGTTTAACTCAGCAACACGCGTACCGCTTAGGTAAGGCACATTTCCAACACTTTGAGACTCATCTGAGCTAGAAAAAAACTGCTATGGAAAAGTCCAATAACAGTTTCCTTCGATTGACGTCATTTTAATCATGTTTCTGCAGAAGCTCTTTTTTTACGGCTGCCATCTTGTTATGTGCAGTGAGGGATGCACATTTGGTCCGTAATAAAAATGTGAAATCTGTTAGGTAACAAAGCTGTGTGCAAAGATATTAGTTGTATCACATATAATAATCAAACAAACTGAAGGCACATTAATTTTATTCAGTCGTTGTAGTTTTAGTTTTCTTTTGCTTACGTTGTCATGGCAACGCATAGTTAAGGTTAAATGGCGTGTTATAAACAACATGTACGTGGTTAGAAGATTGGATGACTAAGTGAAATGATACTATGTCTTGAAAAACTAGGACAAATAATTTAATGAATTTAATTCATTAAATTTTTATTAATTTTAATAAATTGTGGTTTCTATGGAAAAAGAGGTAATTCCGCCTTGGCACTAGTACATCTGAAGATGCTTGTATTGGTGACTACTATCAGTGTGCCAAATTTCATGCTTGTATCTAAAAGTGCACAATTCACTTAAAATTTCTAGCTAAGCCGCCTGACTTAGAAGGACATTGAGCTGGAAAAAGACCACAAATTGGTCCTTTTCGGAAAATATCCAATTTGTGTAAAGTCAGTGTCCTCCGTTTTTAACCTTTGTTTATCCTTTACAAAATAAGTTAATTTTAAAGTAAGTTCAATGGCGAAAAATTATGCGCTTTTACTATCGCCTAACAATCCCACTGTAACAGGAAACTTTCTCTTGCAATAACAAGACAAATTACACAAGAAGACATTAATCTATTACTCACAAAAACAACTGCTGCCAGGTCTTCTCAAGAAGCCGTGATGACCAGCCATTGTTCGTAAATGAATATAAAGTAGGATGACAGTCGTCTTCGCTGAAAAACAAAGTTTTCTGGATTTCGCCGAGCAAAACATAAACATCTTTTCGGCGAATCCAAACCATACTCCACGACTTCTTATAAACATGTGAGTATTTCAACATTAGGTGGACTTTAAGACTCTTTTGACTTTGTTTCTGCTTAGTTTCCATTGATCGTTTTAAATAAGTAAATTTTCTTTCTCAGTTTTACCGTAAGAATTTTCTTTCAAAGTAGACGATTGTGGCGCGTTTGTAACCGGCTTATAGAAGCGTTTGTTTTTCTGTGTCGCGCGTTGCGAGAATTTTGCAGTTGATCAAAGAGCAAGCATTTTTGTCAGCTATGTTATAAAAGAATTTGCTCATGCTTTTACCTGTGCGTATATCGAGTTATGAATGCATTTGGGAAGTTTGGAGAGCACTCAAGAGGCTAGAGTTGCTCTCGGCTGCGCCTCGAGAAACTCTTTAGGAACATTCGTGCTCTCCAAACTTCCCCCGATATCCATAACTCGATACGCGCACGCTAAGCATGAACAAATTCCTAACTTAAATACAGCCATATTTAACAGCGTTCTTATTATACAGTAAGTGGTATCATGGCGGCAGTAATGAAGCGTAAGTCTTGGACTGCAGGAGGCAAGATCTCAGCTGTTATCGTGTAACATGCGGATGGGCTGGAGTTTTTTGAAGTAGAAAAACAGAAAAAAAAAAAAAAAAGAAAAGAAAAAGAGAACAACAGCTTTAAGTGGCACTGAATGGCAAGGGATATGAACCTTGGGCCATAGAATAAATTGAAGGCTATGGCCCATTGGGCCTAAGTCGAAGGTTCTGCAGAATGGCGTTTATTTACTTGACTCGCCATCCATTATCTAATACATTTCTATCCTAAAAAATCGTCCCTTCTTATCAAGCTTGCTACTGATCTTGATTATCTTAGAATATATGGCAATTTAACGTGGTAATATGGGCTTCTCGTTTGACCGTGAAAGAAAAATGAAAACAAATAATTATTGGTAGCCGAGAGAGCTAGAGTAAAGCTGTTACTATATTAAAATATTTCACTTATTTCACTTCCTTTCTTTCAGTCCTCAGACCAAAGGAGCGGAAATAAAACTGACGGCAGAACTTAAGATAGAATGCATAGAGGCTGGTGTACATGACATCACAGCTGCCCTCACAAGATACCTAGCAAGTACAGTAGGCCTGTTTGAACAACAGTACATTAAACTGCAATATGCCCGTAAGTATGACGCTTTGGGTGTACTTTTCAGTTTTTAGCAAGCTGTTGCTGTTCCCAGGAATTCGAAGTCCCCTTGGATTCAAAGGCGGTTTCTTCGGTTAACTTCGTAAGGAATATTGTTGTTAGTAATGCCATATAGGGTGACTGAATCCGTTGATGAACTCGTGGAGTAGACGCCACTGAATACTGGGTGATGTTCTCTGGTGCTATTCATCACGCTGCAAAAAAACAAAAATGTATACAACTTTTGAGGAATCTTATGTGGTGTGACCATTCAAAAGAAGGTTACTAACACTAATGTTGTACTGTTTATGATCCTGTTGATTCCATTAAAAGTGTAACCATTCCAATGAAAGCAGCTAATAAGCAGTACGTTTTTATCGTGCTGTACGCGTTTGCATCAAGTTTTGAGGCTGTGAATAAAATCCTAAATTTAAAATCATATTCAGTGAAAACTTCTGAGAGTGCAAAGAATGAAAGTTTTTTTTTCCTCGTTGTATCTATAATATCGTTGCAAATTTCGGCTCTCTGAATAAAATCTGATTACCCCTGGGAAAGATAATTGAGATTTAAGCTGCTGGCAGTAATCCCAAATAATGTTTTCTGTTTTTCGTTAACAGTTGATTATAGTTGCCGTCTCCCCAAAGTACACGTCCTCCTAAACAAGTCGCACATCAATGCTACAAAGATAACAACGGTTGATATGTTTTTTGTTATCGGAGAGTTTGCCCTTCGTTGCAATACTTCCACTTCCTTTCGGCTCTCCTGGGACAGCTATGAAGTCGATGGTAAAAGTGGAGCTTTTAAATTGAGCCCGTCCCGGCAAATCGTGGGCGCTCGGAAACTTACTATTCGACCAAAAAGTTTGCGTGTGGGGTTGTATTTTATACGACTGGTTGCCGAAATGACGAAAGAGGAGGGCGCTTTGGGCTACGATTACGGTTTTCTTCAAGTGGTGTATCCTGATCTTGTTGCTAAGATACGCGGTGTGGACATGGTGGTAAAGGGTACCAGCGATGTTGTGTTAGATGCAACAGATTCCTACGACCCGCACGATCCCGCATCGCGGGACCAAGGCATTACGTTTACTTGGTTGTGTCGAAGAGAAGACGAAGATTTCTCGAACCTGGAGTCGCTCCCTATCGATACTTCCCATGGGAGGGAAAAAGTCCTTGGAGGGTGTTTTGGATATGGCGTCGGGAAGATGAACACAACGGAACCTTTTCTAAAGATCAGTGTAAATAAGATGGTCTCACAGTATAGCTACGTATTTGAACTTATTGTTGAGAAACAAAACCGAAGATCCACTGCAAGTCATATACTGCGGGTCGAGTCTTCTATTGCATTTTCTATCAGGTAAATAGTTTTTCTTTGACTGTCACTAATACTCATGAAATTTGCATCAGTTAGTTAAAATTGGTATTCAGAAAGACATTTCATTCGATTAATTGAACGACAGTCAACTATTCAAATTTTCACCACTAAACGATTTTTTAGCGAACTTTTTTGTGTTTTAGAGCAAGAACACAGAATTTGATTGCATTCTCAATTTTAAACTTGCATGGTTACTTTTTTCCCCGGATCTTAAAATCAGCCTGTTAATCCACTTTAAGTTATATACTTTGCAATACTGAAACATTCTAGACCTTCTATACTGTCAACCAGGTTGGTTAATGAAACAGTGAAAAAAACGTCGACAGTTGTGCGTCGTACAAGACGTCAGCCATGCGTCTCTTCGTTCACAGATCATTGGTAACGACTGATCAAATTTCGCGTGGACTTCAGTATGTTTAATATACTTTCAATTTGACTCAGTTATTCATGGAGGCTCAGTCTATGCCTCGCGTAACGGTAAATAGCAGATGTCAGATATGAGACCACGTGACTCTTTTCCCGCTCTTTTTCAGTAATGCTCGTCGTTTGTCGCTGGCCGTTTTACAAAGTCAAGATGAGTTTTCTCATTTATGTAAAACGTAAAGAAAAAGAACTTAACTTTTTTAACGGATGCAATCGCTTGAAGATCTCTGCTGTTTGCTGTCTGCCGTTACGCTCTTTCTGAATAGCTTTTGATGTTTACTCTTAACAGATGTAAAAGAAACTGCGGCTCCAAGGTGACCGCAAATAAGCGCATGATAATTGAGTCTGAATGCAAGGGCGTGTCTTGCCAAGCGATCCAGAAATACAACTGGACGCTTTTCAAGTTCGATGTCTTTGCCGAGAACGAAACGTGGGTGCAAGAAACAGACTTGGAGAACAGGATCCTTACAGAACCGGATAGCTCGAGTCTGGTGTTTAAAGGTAGTTTTCCAAAATATAGCACTAATGGAACTTAAATTGATCACTTTGGCGGCTATTGAAGGCGAACGAAGATACCCGAGGAAAATAAAACAAAATAGTCATAGACAAACATTATTCCAAAAAATTGTTTTGTTAGAAGTCTCTCGATAGCCATCAGTGCTGTATCTTTTACTAGGAATCTTACTGTTTAAAGTATTTCGGCTGACAGAAAATAACATTCTTTCGAATTTCGTTTTAAGGTGCGCGCAAACGGACGTAGCAACTCTCAACATTTTTGGGCTAACAAGGTGGGAGTTGTTGCGTCCGTTTTTGTTGCGATGTGCAAACAAATGCAACAACTCCCTACAATGTTGGGTTCTGGAGTGGATCGTGGGAACGATACAACCCATAAGACTTTAAAGACCATGGGTGACCATGTGCAGGGCCATGTGTATTGCGCGCGCGCGCGACCCCAGCATGTTGGAAGAGCGGCGCAAATAGATCCAACATTGTCGCGCTACGTTTCGGTGATCACAGAACAAAAGAAATGTTGGGAGTCGTTGGCTCAACAGTTTGACCGGTTTCAAACTTTGCACAACAACTCCAACTTGCAACAACATGCAACAGGATGCGCCAACGGACGCAACATACAGCATCCAACAATGTTGCATCCGTTTGCACCGGTCTTTACCTCCCCGCTAGCTAAGCGATTTTTCCTCGCTTTTATAATCCGTTATAGGAAAGCTCAACGATTGGGAGAATTCATTGGCGGATGACACCAAGTACAGACTGAGAGCATCTGTGTACCTTGATGATGACACAGTTGAGGAGAGTGAGATCTTCTTTAAGACTAATTCTCCGCCAGTGTATGATTATTCTGACGAAATGGCCGGCTGCTCAGTGACCCCTGAAACTGGACACGCGGTTACAACAGAGTTTACTATTTCCTGCCGGGGATTCATGGATGAAGATATGCCACTAAGCTATGAGTTTAGGTATGTTTGCAGAGAATTGCCCGTTCATTTTGAGTTGCTGGTCAGAAATGCGTAAAAGAGATGTATTCTTTTAGATTAGATACAAATAAAAAAATGTGATTTTTCTGTGCTGTTTACTGAATTTAAGCGACTTCCTGAAACGCAAAGTAATAACATAAAAATTACGGCCTTTATTCTGGGGCACCCAACGAAAGTGTTCTGTAAAATACCTGTTCGGAGAAGCTAAAATTTTCTATTCCGTGAGAAAGTGGAAGAATTTCTAGATGGCTGTTCCATTCATTTACAATTTTCGAAGCTTTTCTAATAAATTCCCTACGATTTTCTGAAGTTTAATATTTCGCATTTCACTCCCCAGATTAAGGTATTTTCCGAAGAAAAAGGAAACCTAAAATTTTCGGATTCGTAAATGCGATAGAAATAGGAATCAGAAAAAATTCTCACTTTCGTGAAACTTCAAGTTGCATCCAAAATTTTCGGGAAAATAATATTGAGGCCATGGTAATTTCGAAAAGAGCACAAGTTGCCCTAAGATGACGAACAAGTATAAATTTTGTAGCGCCCATTTGAATTTATTTCTAAAGATCTAAAAGTACTCTCTGGATAGACTAAAAAGAGTTTTCACTGCATTTCGGAGGAAACCGTCGTTGGGTGCCCCTTTCAAATCTTTTTTGTTAGCAACTAATCATGACATCTTGCAAATCTTAACTGTACCGTGGGTACGTAAGCAGGCTTAAAAAGACCCAACATTTGTTAACCTCATTTTTCATTTTTCTCCTTTTGGATCTGTAGCTATCACACGAACACAGGTGCTGTTGTCATACAGAAAGGCAGTTCAAGCAGCACTACTACCAGGCTTCCTCTTGGTGATCCTCTGCTTGATTACGTCATTGCCCTGGAAATTCAGATTATCGACTCACTAGGGGCTGCTTGTATGGACGTCCTTGTAGTTAACGTAGGTTTTATTCTAGCATAAAATAAATAAAATAATTAATTACTTGACCAATACTTTATTGACAGTGGAAAGAAATTTCAACTCCTGATATAGCTTTGCTTTAAACCAATGCCGCAGCTACATCAGTCTGTTTATTCTATAACTACCAACGAAATACTAGGAGAGTTTTTACGGGAAAACACGATATCTTAATCTTCACGCGTGAATAGATCAGCGTTGCTATGACTTCGTGGTCAATCGCGCCTTTCGTAACCAAAAAAATATAACTGAAATAGTTTGGTATTTCATTGGTGTCGATATATAGATAGAAAATTACATGGCCGCTTGCATAGGAACACTCGAGTTAAAAAAGTTTGCAACACTCGAAGATAAATTTCGTAACTCTGCGCGTCCATGTAATATTCTATTCAAATTTGAGTTTCATGCTGTGACGGAACAGGACAGTGAAAAGATTGTCAAGCATATCCCATCAAACAAAGCGCCCGGGCATGATAGGTTATCTGCTAGAGTGCTTAAAGACAGTCTACCAGCCACGCTACCTGTCATTACTAATCTGATTAATTCTTCGCTCGCATCGAAATCCTTTGCGCAGGCGTGGAAGTCTGCAGTGGTCACCCCAAGCCTCAAGTCCGGCGATCCTAATGAGCCCGAAAACACCCGCCCTATATCCCTTCTACCTGTAATGTCAAAGGTATGCGAGAGGGCTGCTCACACGCAGTTCATGGACTTTTTGGATAAAAAACAGCAAGATATCCGGCTTACAGGGTGGAAAAAGAAAGTTCCACATCACTGAAACCGCCTTACTGCACTACACGGACCAGCTCCTTGTGCTGCTCGACATGTCTAAAGCTTTCGACAGCATCCAACATGACAACTTATTATCAAAACTGCACTTACTGGGTGTGTCGGCCTCCACGCTAGCCTGGTTCAAGAGTTACCTATCATTACGCAAGCAAGTGGCCAGGATTGGCAGTGACCTATCCGACCCTCTCCCACTGACAGTGGGTGTGGCCCAGGGGTCCATTCTCGGTCCAGTTTTGTTCACGTTGTACGTCAACGACCTTCTGCGAGTGCGGAGCCATAGACTATGTAGACGACAACAAGCTGCTTTTGACTCTTGCCCCGTTTGACATCAGCATTGCCATTTCTGACCTCAATAGTGATCTCCGCGAGATCGCAAAGTGCTGTTCAACAAACTCTTTGTTAATTAACCCAAACAAAACTAAGCTCCTCGTTGTTGGCGTTCCACAACTAACTCGAAACTTATCTTTACCTCCTTTTGTTCAATTGGGGAAGAACATCAAGCCCTCTCCTGTTGTAAAAGACTTGGGGATCTGGATCGACTCCGCCGTAACTAACCATGTATCTAAACTGTCCTCGAGCTGCCTGTATAATCTACGTGGTATCAATAGAATTAAACATCATTTGGAAAACAAAACACTTTGTTTAATTATCAAGGATCTTTTTTTTAGCAGGCTTTTTTTTTTATTGTTCTAGTGTATGGGGTAACACCTCCAGCAAAAACATTTCTAAGCTTCAACTTATCCAGAACTTTGCTTGCAGAATCATCCTAGGTATCAAAAAATTTGTTCATTCTCTGCCGCGCGCAAATCCCTTGGTTGGCTAACCGTCCGTCAAAAACTTCTATTAAATTCTGTTAGTATGGTTCAGAAGTGTAGAACAAATCAGGCACCACCTTATCTTTACAATTTATTTTATGATAGATTTAGTGTGTCACGACGCAGCACTAGAAATATGTCACAGTTAAATCTACCTAAATGCAGCCTGCATTTAGGTAGATTGTCAACTGGTCAACGTTCTTTCGCCTTTCGTGGGGCAAAAGAATACAACTTACTCCCAGAAAACATTCGGAACTTAAACAATATCTCAAGTTTTAAAAGGAAAGACGCCGCCCATTTTCTTGGAAACTCTTCTTAAATAGATTGAATCACATTTTTCATGACTGTATATAACAGTCGTGTAAATATTTCTTGTTGTAACAGATGTAAACATTTTTGCCGATTGTAATTTTATTATTGTATATTTTGTTATTATTGTACATTACGACATAATAGCCCCGTATAGAGGAGTCGTAATAAAGTGTATGTTATGTTATGTCTTTCTCTTCTTATTCGGGTTCAACCTTTCCGTAGGTTGAACCAATGCCCGCTGAAGATGTCACTGAAACATTGATTAGTATGACAAGTGGGGAGAAAAGCCCCCTTGGTAATCTGATTCAGTCTGGTGACGTAGACAAGGCGGCCCAGATGGCATACGCAGTACTGTCCATGGTAGACAAGAGCGAGGGAGAGATGAACAGCAAAGACAAAATATCGGTAAGCTAACTTGTTTGATAAATGTCTAGCCTTTTTGCCTCCTTAACAGTGTCTCTAAGGAGACACTGTTCTTTTGTTTTATTTTATCATGTGCAAACTGCAAAGGAATCCTCATTCCAAAACGATGATATGCTTAACAACAGCATAAAAGAATAGAAAGTAACATGAGAACGGTCTATTCTTAACCGTTTATTCATGACCAGACGTGTATAAAAACGAAAAACAAAGGATAAGTAAACCATGACTTAATATCATATTAAGAAATTATAGGATCGCTCACATGGCATGAGAAGGTTAAAATTCCCATTGTTCGGGCCAAAGTAATTCTTTTTTAGTTAAAGAGTACCTTTGGTTAAGGCTCCAGAGTTTTTTTTTTTTAAGATACCTTGTAAGATAAGTGAAGGTTTGGACTATTCTTAGTTTATTAGTTGTCAATTCTGATAGAAAGTAAAGAAAAAAATAGCTGTGCCAAAGAATGAGGCTTGACCACAACTACAAAGTCAAATAACTAAAAAAAGGCAGGGATATTTTAATAATGTCTTTTCTATTATTCATTCAAAGTATTTCTCCTTTTCTGTCATATTTGAAAAAATGTGGGCAGTTACATTCATTGACGTCAAGCACTCTAACGTCAATGATTGCCTCTTGACTAATATACAATTTATGCGCACCAATTTGCAAGTCTACGAGGAGCTAACGATGCCTTAAGAACTTGAGGAACGAACGTAACTACCCGAGGCTCAAGGTTCGCTCATTCCCTCCCCCTCTCCTTCAGTTCTTTATTTTACGAGTATTTAAAGCTATTTGAAAGGCAATAAAACAATTTAATTTTTATTATCACGTTGTTGGGCATTGTGGCGCATTTTGCTGGTTGAAATGGAGAATTTGGCGGGTGAAAATGCATTTTACCCCGCTGAAATAAACCAATGAAAAGAGAAGATCAAACAGTCATACGATATATGCAGCCAATCAAAATCGAGAAGCCATGATTGTAATGTTCGCGTTGCCCTTATGCTAGTCTGCTACACAGTCTTTTTTTGGCGCAACGCTCTGTGGGAAGGATCGTTGCGTGACGACACTAAAAACGGCTGTGTAGCAGACCACCTTTACGCTGCCATTTTCAAAGATCAAATCATGGCTGAAAACACAGAAAACAACAAACAATTTGAGCTAGAGGAAGAAGATCTACAAATGATTAGAAAAACCTCTGATGTAAACGCCCATAGTAGCTCCATAGTCGGCGACGAAGTGCATGTAGATTTTGTAGCTTCAAGCCATTAACGCACTCAGTTGAACCAATTATGCCAAAATGTTACTTTAACATTTGTGCAAATGTACATTTAATTCTAACTCTTACAAATGAGCTTTCTTGTCTATTGTAATTTTTACAAACTTAAATGGCACGATACTGTGTAATTTCTAGCCAGTTTCGGGTAAAAATTAATAAAAGGCATTCAACATGTAAATCCTAACGTAATTTGATTCAGAATGACTTGTTTTCATCTTATAAAATCGGCTTTATTTTCTCATTGCCCTCCAAAGTGATAATAAAAGTTGTGGAGTTTATGTTGTTGGGCATAAATATATATGTTTTTGGCCCTAATCTCAGAGCTTATTTTAACACTCGCCTAGCGGCTCGGGCTAAAATGAGTTTGAGTCGGGCTTAAAATATATTTATGCCCCCCAACATAAACTCTATGGGACGGTTATTTAAACGGAGTTTAACCAGTGTTTAGCAAAACCGCTTTGTAAGTCACTTTCAGTTTGCCTAGCGCTTTCATCTAAACACCATTTGTCGTTAAGAGTTTCATTAAAGCATATAGTATAGACTAGAACAGCATTTATCTTCTTGAATTTAACCCACTAAGGAGGAGACTGAAGATCCAAAGGTTTCTTAAACCGCGTTAAGACTTCGTTTATATAACCGACCCTTTATCTTTATTACCGTTAAACAAATAAAACAATTACTACTGAATTTCGGCTTTCATTTGAGGTGGAGAATTATGCAGATTTCGGAGGTTTTCATCCATCTCAGCTTTCGGCGTCGATGGATAACACACTTCTTGATCAACATAATTCTTCATATCATGCTCAGCCTTATTCAATAATTGATAAATATAGAAGGTATGAAGCTAAGTAACCATACAATTTAAACGTTAAATTCTTCTTACAACATTTTAAAGATTACAGGTAACGTAAAGAAGTTAAACTAACATTATATTTAATCCATCCTCTGTGTGCACGACGGTAACCAGCACGCTCACTTTTTTCAGACAGTATATTTAACGATAGTCATCCTACGTGTGCTTAATCCGAATCATATAAAAGTCGGTAGCTTTACAACAACTTGCTCTATTATTCGTTGTTCATGAAGAAAAGCCTGCAATTGCAAAGACATTCCTTTTTCTGTTTCATTTTTTTTGTCTTTCTCAACAAGTTTGCCGGTTCTTTGCTTAAAGGTTTTTCCCCGAGAGGTTTTTCAAGTTCTCGATCTTGCTTTTTCTCAATCATTCAGCGATGAGTTTCATTTGTCAAGCTTTATCTGTTTCTGCTGTTGTCAGAAGGGCCTATCTATGTTTTTTTTCTCTCACCAATAATTATAACTGTCAGCATGTCTTCATCATAACAACAAAATTAAGATAAATTTGGTTTCGTCCACAACTGTTACCATTTTCCCAGAATTGTGCACCTATTGCGCGGCAGTGAGTTTGCATCAAGATTGTAAAATTAAGTGAACCAACCGAACGGGATTTAAGATTGACTGCTGCCGACAAGACATCGATGTATCCCCAAGTAAGCCCTTGTGTTTTGTTCTGCTTTGAAGTGTTGTGGTTGTCATGCAAGAAAATCTCAGAAGCGTTACTTGCTGACTCAGCCTCAGTCGCCCTATCTTCTTGCTGGGGTCCTCAAGAATGTGCATAAGTTGAATTAAAAGTGAGATCTAGAGCGAAACCGTAGTCGGGCAGGAGAAACAACGACAAACAAACAAACACAAAAAACAGGAGCAACAACAACTGGCGCACTCTTAGAAGGCACGATAATGATTCCTGACTGAAGACGCACGTTCCGATTCAGCTATAACTGCACTAGTTAATATTCATGTAAAATCAACTTTAACTTGAATTTATTCGCACATTTGCATGATAAACCATGCATAAGCGGACACGATCAAGTCACTACTCGGCACTGTGAGCACTATCACGATTGTTAACGTCACCGTATTCACGACTAATTATCGACCATTTTATACAAATCTACATGCTTTTAACTCACAGATTGCAGTGGTAAGAAAGATCTTACGCTCAAAGTTTAATGTCACCAAGACAACGGTCCGTAATGTAAGTACGCATACCACACATGCGCCACTTTAAAATAATTGTCATTTTTGTTTAGTTTTCTTCACGTTAGTTTTTTTCTCTTTCATTTATTTTCGTATTACATGTCATATTGTGTTGGTAACTGTGATGTGATGCCAAGATACCCGTAACAGTTAAGGGAAAATTAGTCGGTCTTTTGTACTTTGTTTTGGGTAGGAATTTTTTTGTATGTGTTTAACGTAAATATTCATTTGTCAGTAATTCATTTTCATTCAAACTGCCTTTTTTGTTTACTTCCTTTCTCGCTGTTCAGACACTTAAGTTAAATCATATAAAGAACAACAACATCAACAACAACCACAACAACAACAACAACAACAACAACAACAACAACGCTAGGAATAAGTGACAAGCCGTGGCTTCATAATACAAACAACTGCAAAACTCTTACTTGAAAAAAGTGTTCATGAAATCAATTGCCCGTAATTTTATTTAAGCTCAAAGACTGCTTGGCAATTATTATCTATATCAACGAAAATAACAGACTAACCACGCATGCGGACCTCGAATGGATTTTTAATAAAATAAAGCGAATAAAAAATATAGAGAAAAACATTACAATTTGATTTTATTTAGAATTAATAACATTTTTTAAACGATGCTAAACTGTTTCTTAATTTTTCTGTAGTATTCACTGACACCTAAGGAATCGAAATTTTTGAAAAATTGCTTAAACCTCGTCATTTGTTCTTGCGAGGAAGGCATAAATTTAAACAAACTCTCTCACACACACTAACTTGTTTACAGATGGCTCTTCGAGAAGGTTTTTTAGGTGCTAATAGTTTGAAGGAAGGTATGTGCCGCATCCTTTTTTGCGCAAGAACAAGCCTGATAAAGTTGTCCTGTCAGGCCAGGTGATATTCAGTTGAAGTGATTTATGAACAATTGTTCGCTGAAGGCCCAGTTAATATTGTTAAATATTCGTCTCGGGAATTATTCAACAATATTAACTGAGCCTAAGGTGAATAATTGCTTTAGTATATTCACACGAAGTGATCTCAACAGAGTCAGAAAGGAAACCATTAAAAAAACCCATTATATTAGGTCGATTGACGGGTGCATGAACTCATGCGTGAACACATGAAGCCGTAAACAGCAGATGCGCAAAAGTTAGATCTTTATAGTATCTTCCAACATGGCAAATCATAGTTTTAATCTTTTTTAAAGCATTAGCGTCAATGGTTTTAAAGAAAACGTCGGAAGTTGAAATTACTATCCCTTCTAAGAAGAAACGTATAGCTTTTTTTGTTTCTGTCAAATCACCGTGATCGAGAGAGTTTTTTTGTCGCTTCTTCAACGCTATCAACAGCGTCTACGATCGAGGTGAGCGTTGTTTATATATCTGCAGTGTTCTTTCCTTGTTAACTTGCTGGCACGTACAATTTTCGAAAATATTTGCCTTCCTCTTTTCTCCATATTAACTTTTATTTAAAGGCAAAATTGGTCCTGCGAGGAAATCCCGAGTTCACAAAACAGTGACAAAGTGGCCTCGTTTTCCTCTGTAGTGGTAAACATTTCTTCGAGCGTACAAAAAGTCAGCTACAGTAAATCACTTCACAATAAATCACGCTGTTTTAACACCATGAAGTCTTTTCTTACCTTCAAAATCATCAACACTAAGGTATTCTTGTATTTTCAAAAAGTTCTTACTCTGAAACTTTGGCAAAACACCCAGTTCACGACAGTGATTCTGTTCTGCTTTATGTTCACCACCTAACGAGGTGAATAGAACGTCATAGTCCGAGATCGCAAATCAATCAGATTGCTTGAATCACTAAGATCACTGAGTGTGTATTTACTAATCACGAATAAAAATGCTGCTCTTATGACGTTGAGGTTATCGCTGGGTTTACTTTCAGCTGAAAGACTCCATTATCAACCAGATGGCCGCCGTCAAGGTGACCAGCCTTGAACAAGTCACACAGATGGCAGCAGTAGTCGCCATAGCAACAGAGCAGAAGGATGAAATTTCTCAAAGTTCACAGGTATCTGAACCCTCCAAAACGGCCTACTCAAGTATTACAGTGGCCCTTTTTTTACTAATGGTGACTGAAGAAATTGATGACACCTTCCTATCCGTCGGTTAGTTCAAAAGGGTAGTAAAAAACAAACAAATAAACAAAAACAAGTGACCTGTAACAAAGGAGTCTGACGGGCTTCGTAGCCAGGGCACTTACATGGGAATTTAAGGGTTACGTTTTCAAGAACCAACATTTTTGTCCTACAATTTTGCAGGAGAACGCCGTCAATCTTCTAGAAGACACGGCGGACTTTGTTTCATCCCAGCTAAACTCAGACACTACCGATCCAGGTGTTTTGCAAGACGTAGGTGCCAGCCTCCTTCATGGCATTTCAAACGTTATAAGTGCAACGTCGAGTAAAGCTGAAAAGGGAAAGGATGATGAGGAAACGGATGAGGAAAAGCAGCCTGGGAATGAGGAAGGTGAACAGCAAATGGAAAAGGAGAAGGAAAAGACGAAAGCTGAAAAAGAAAAGGTATCTATGTTCTTATTTGAAGCACTCCCATGAGTAAAAATGGACCAAAAAAATTTTGGATCAAAATTTGGGCATAGCAATACAACTCTACTATAAAATTGCGTCGTTATATAAAAAAGTTAGTTAAAACGTTAAAAGTTAAAAAAAAGCTACCACACGGCCAGTTGAATGCAAACTATTTTATTCTATAAAACGGTTTTATTATCTTGTGTCTTTAGAGTAAAAAGATGGCTGAGAAAACGTTAAAGCTGATGGACAAGGTTGGCTCCAGCCTTTTGGGTACGAAGGCTGTTGGTGAAAAGCCCAGCGTGTTTTCAACTAAATCCCTAAATATGACGTTGGACAGACAGGTTCCATCAAAGATTGGCAACAAAAAGCTGAGTGACGGACAGGGGGACGGGGGCGTTGAGTTACCTTCAGCTGCTACTCTATTTGGAGACAAGGCTAGCCATCTTCCTTCGGTTGATTCACAGGTACTGAACATGCAATATTAGACCGCAAGTAGACGACTCGGAATGAAATTTTAAATTATTATTTTTACTGATGTGAACTTCAGTTTTTTTTATGCGTTTTGAGTCGCCTTGGCGTAGTGGTTCGTACTATGTCGGTGGTAGTTTGAAGCCTTGTTGCCACCGTCTTTGTAATTTGGGTAGTTGAGAAACTATGGCCCTTGCTGCTTCTCAGTCTCCTTTTAAATACATCAGGGGGTTTGGCACTACAATACTATCATCAACTAGCATGCAATCCAGTGGGCTGGTAGCTGCTTCTCAAAAAAATTTTCGATTTTTCTAGATGCTGGCGTTTAAGGACAATCCCTACACATGGGACGCAACTTCGAGAAACATTAAGTCCTCAGTAATCGATTTTTCGTTAAAAGCCGCGGATGGAGAAACATTGGAAGTGTCTGGACTTTCAAAACCAGTGGAACTTTTTATACCTCAGAAGAAAAGACGTGAAGATAAGGGCAACAGTACCAACACTACCAACCCAGTGTACTTTGCAAAGCCAAGCGATGGTGAAAATAACTTGAGGTAAACGAAGGAAATGTGTCTTTTCCACGTTTTAGATTATTATTTGTTTAAATTAAATAAGGGTTTGGAAACCTGTGTTCTAAATTGCATCTATCTAACCAGTGGTTTGCCCTGAAATTTCATACAACCTCCTGTTCGATTTCGGGGACTAGACTATTTAAAGTTTAAACACTAGTTGATGATTGGGGAGCCAAATGTTGATCTCAAAAGCCTATGCTCAGTAGCATAAACATAGTGGGGCCACTTAAAATCGCCTAAGCCCAAACTCTAACACCGACTATAAACGTATTTGAAAAGGACATTTCTTCTTTTTAATCAGGTACCACCAAGTTGTAATCCCATCGAAGAGTTTGTCAGTCTTCATTGAAATCAAACCAGAAGAGGGTAAATCCCTTGAAGTGTACGTCAGCTACAAAAAGCGTCCAACAGTAGAACATTACAGTTTCAGTGCCATCATCCCAGATATTAAATACTGCAAAGATAATGGGACTGGACTAAACTGTAGTGAGAAGGCTTACGTATTTGTAATAAGCAGCGCAGTCACAGGCCACATTGGCGTCCACTATATCGCGATAAGATACCCTGAGCTGGAAACAGAATCTGCTAGTACCGGATCCTCAGAGATGGAAGATGACGAAGTCGATCTTCGGGTGAGAAGGGACTGTGGAAGTCACGGACGCAGGCAGAAACGTTCTTGCATTGGCGTTAAAGATCCCCCAACGACCCCTCCCTCTACTCCTAAGATTGTTATTCCACAGTATGACAATAGCACAGACGTGAACTACACTTTGTCTGTGACGGCGGCAAATTGTTTGTACTGGTCAGAAAACAAGCAGGCATGGACAGGTGATGGATGTACGGTATGTATGTGTGAAAGTAGAGGAAACTATTCTTCCTAGCTGCAGTCCCGTGGTGTTAGTTGAGACTCGTTTTTCAGTAAATTTTCGTATATTTCTAGACCTTGTCTCTTTGTGTCGTAACTATATATATTTTCATACAAAATGTAAAACTTTCTTTAAGGCCCCATTGAAAATATTTACCCCTTTTTACCTCATGACTATTATTTATTTTTTATAAGGTTTCATAACCTCACTTGAATTGCTGGGGAGCTTGCATAAGGATTTTGAGAAGAAGGAAGGGTGTTTGAAAGTGATGGACAAAATGACTGTCCTTGATGGTTACTAAACCCTATTCATAGATGAATGGCTTAAGTTGTTTTCATTCACAACAGGTTGGTCCAAAGACGGTACCCGACAACCTCCACTGTCTATGCACTCATTTGTCCGCGTTTGGTGGGGATTTTTTTGTTGCTCCAAACCCCATCGATTTCGACAAGGTTTGGGCTGAGTTTGGTAACCTGGCAGAGTCCGGAAACTTTGTCGTTCTCGCCACTGTTTGTTCCATATTTGGACTCTATTTTGTTGGGTTGGTTTTCGCTAGAAAAGCTGACAGAAAGGACGAAATGAAGGTACGTTTGGTCTTATTTTCCCTATGTACCAACCGCTGGAGAAAAAATGGATTTGCACAAATTTGTTCTTGGCAAATACTTGTATATCGCAAAAATGCAAAAAGTGAGGAGTACATCCAACAGCTTGTGAGGAGTACAAGCTGTTAGATAACAGTCCAGTATAAAGTAATACTTTTCTGCAAGATGTGAAAGACAGCCAATTTTGATGAGTGTAATCCTGTCACCAGTGGCATACTAAAGAAAACGTTATTCACCAGCGATTGTTTTTCTTGAATTTGTTCTCGTTATCACTTCCTAAATATTAGTTTTTGAAAAGAAGGTCAAGGAATGTATAAAAATCTTAGCAGAAGATGGCTTGATTCTAGTGCGTGCTACTTTTCGAAAAAATTGGATCGCAATTAACCTTTGTCTTATTTCTAGGTTGTGGCTAACGTTTATCTGGCGGATAACACGGAAGGAGGCTACTTGTATGAAATTTCCGTTCAAACTGGAATGTGGAAGGGTTATGGGACGACAGCAAACATAGGACTGATCATCTATGGAGAGCAAGGCGTGACCCCAGCTTTACCCTTATCAGATCCAGAACTTAACAAAATTTTCTTTGCTCGTGGAAGCATTAACAACTTTACTTTATCTTTACCGGAGTCGTTGGGTAACCTAGTAAAGATTAAAATCTGGCACGACAACAGTGGGAAGAGTCCTGCGTGGTTTTTCTCACAGGTTAAAATTATTGATTCTCAGACTGGAGACAAATGGCATTTCCTGGGGAACCGATGGCTTGCACTGGATAAAGGTACTGGGCAGATAGAAGTGGAACTAAAAGCTGCCGATAAAAGAGAACTCTCAGGATTCAAAAACCTGTTTTATTCCAGAACCTCGCGGAGCTTGGGTGATGGTCATTTGTGGTTATCGGTCTTTACCAGGCCTCCGCATAACACATTCACCCGTTGTCAGCGCTTAACTTGTTGTTTGTCAATTTTATTTGCCACTTTGATAACAAACGCAATGTTTTATCAATTTAATAATCCCCCAGAAGACACGTTCCAGTTAGGACCAATCAAGTTAAGCTGGATACAAATCAAAATTGGCATTCAAAGTAGTCTTATTGCTATTCCTGTAAATGTCCTGGTTGTAACTATCTTTAAGAACATCAAGTACCCTCTCCCTGCGGATGCAATTGGGGCAAACCAAAAAATACCTGGATGTTTGCCTCATTTTTTCGTGTACGTCGGCTGGATGCTTTGTATCTTGACTTCCCTGGCATCTGCTGCGTTTACAGTGTTCTACAGCATGATGTGGGGGGCTGAGACTTCAAACCAATGGCTCACATCTATCATGGTGTCATTCTTCCAAGATGTTGTTATCACACAACCTATAAAAGTGGTTCTTATTGCGTCACTGTTGTCTCTCCTTATCAGAAAGCCTCCTGAGCAGGACTTGGTTCTCGGCTCGTCGATGAAAAGTGGCGGGAAAGGTAGCCAAGTAGAACCACCTGCCGGAGAGGCGCTCAAAAAAGCCCGCGAATTTCAAACGAAGGTCTTGGAAATGTTTAGAACTATTGTTGAAATGACTTTCTTCTTTGTGTTTATTGCTCTTCTCATGGTGGTGTGCTATGGAAATAGAAAACCTACCAGGTTTCAGCTGACTGCCGGCTTGGAGAACATGTTTAGTGGCTTTGAAAAGGTAAAGAGTACTGTTATACCGCTAAAAAAAACTAAGCCTTTTTAGCCACATCACGTGAGTATACCTCGATTTGAATTTCAAATGACTTGCAGTGATCATTAATTATGTCAACAGAGTGAACTCTGTCCACTGCTACAAAGTTATTATCATGCGCTATGGTTATCTTGTCAAGTGCAATCCAAGCGTAAATTAATTAGGAACTCTATACGTGGTCTGTTTTTGCTTCACTATCGTAAGGATTCTCTGTTTTCTTTCTCCATAAGGTAAACAGTCCACCGGCCTTCTGGACATGGACGAGGAATGTCCTCATTCCAGGCCTCTATCACACACAGTGGTACAACGGCGATCGTTTCGAATACGAGGAGGGTTTCCTTAGCAACAGAGAAACCTTTATGGTAGGAATGCCTCGGCTCCGACAAGCTCGTATCAGACCTGGTGAGTTCCATGCCAGTCACTTTATTACTTACATTAATGCTCTTAACCCATAACCCCTTAGATAAAGCAAGTAACTAGACCAGAATTATTATGGGGAAAAAGGGGTAAGGGATGAAGTACTCCAAATATGGACAGCAGGTCACTTTTCTCTACATATTGGTGTAACAGTCCGAAATCTACAAGGGGAGAGGTGATAATCCTCTCTAGGGAGTGATAATCCCCTAGGATAAGGAGGTAATAATCCTCTCTTGGGGGTGATAATCCCCCAGGATAGTGAGAAGCTAGGTGATAATCCTCTCTAGGGGTTGATAATCCCCCAAGGTTGTGAGTGGAGGTGATAATCCCCCTTGGGTACCGGAGAGGTGGAAAGACCTCTCTAGATGTCTAATTCCCCGGTTTAAGGAGTAACAAGAGTCTATGGGGCAAAGTGTGACCTGTATGGGAGCACTTCATCCCGAACCCATGTTTATTAATTGCCAACGACTCTCAATACAGATATCATCACTAATTTAAGCTAGGATTGCGTGCCTACTGCCCGTCAGGAAAAACCCTCACTTATTTTTGGGGGAAACCTGAACCCTCCCGAAAGCAGAGCCAGACACTTAAGGGAGAGAGGTTAGACGAAAATGTATTAATAGAAGTTGTAAGTAAATGACAATTAAACTTTTATCAACTTAATAATCAAAATAAGGCCCAAAATAACTAAGTGCACAAGCATGTTAGGATGCCGGGTACGATGATTCCCCTCAGTAGAAAACCCACCTCTTTTCTGCCATATCTTCTTGACAATTGCCAATTGATTCGAAGTGTAAACAACAAAGATCAGTAGTTCGTATGACTGCAAAAAGTATAAGCAGCTTCTTAAATTTTTCAACAAGAGAAAAGACCTCATATATAAAACCTTAAGAAAACCAGCAGAGAGAATCAAGCAGTAATAAGGGAGGGTGGGATGGGATTTTGTTCCACGAAGAGAAGAATATGAAGTGCTATTTTGCTGAGCTAGGCGCGAAAATATAGGCATCAACTGTACATGTGATAGCTGGCATCTAATTGGCCGAGCGAAACAATTAGTGTGACAGGGGTCACATGCAGGAAGTGACCCCTGAAAGGAAGTGAGCTGATTCCACTACTGGTAAGGGCGGGTTTATGGTTATCACATTAACTCCAATTTATCCTGTTGTATAAATTAGCTTTTAAGTTTCGTTCACACGGCAACGAACGAAGTTTCGACCGGCTGAGAATTTGACGGGAAACTATGTTCAAACGGGACCATTCAATATTTTCGCTCTATTCACAAGGAAGTTTGAACAGCTAAGCGTCTAAGTTTTAGTACCGTTTATATAAGGTGGTTCCGTGTAAACGGACCACCTAAACGCACAAATTTCAACCGCTCGAAAATTCGTCCCGTGCTGTGTGAAGGTATCCTAAGAAAAAACCTGGGCCCAGTTTTTCGAAGGCCGATTAGTGCTTAACCAAGGGTTAAATTTTACCCGAGTTTCTTTTCCTTTTGTTCAAAGACATTTTCTCGGAGAATTTTCTCTGTTATTTTTAAGAGCATCCAATCATCAACTTGTCAACAAAGAGAATTAAACTGAATTTACTTTTTAAGCTTTCATATCTGAATTCATATTTCGCATTAACCCTGGGTTATCTTAACCTAGCTTTGAACAACCCGGCCCTGTATATAGAGGATATTACATGGTCGCGCGGAGGTACGAAATTTCTCTTCGAGTGTTGAAAAATATTTCACGAGTGAGCGCAGAGAACGGGTGAAGTATTTTTTCAACACGCAAAAAGAAATTTCGTATCTCCAAGCGGCCATGTAATGTTCTATTAAATATATAAACGCCAATGAAATACCAAACCATTTCACTTAAATGGTTTTTGGTGTGAAAGGCGCCATTTATTATGTAGCCATAGCAAAGGTGATATTTTCACATGTGAAGATATCAAGTTTTCACGCGAAAGCTCACCTGGTATTTCATTGGTGTCTATGTAATAAATTAGGGTTCGTAGACAGTAAAGCATAATAAATAAAGATGTGAATTTACGATTGCACAAAAATGGTGAATAAAGTATCTTGCCGCGGACTATAGTAGCATATGATCGGATTTCAGTGAAGACCTACGTACTACTTTTAGACACAAGATGCCGTATTTTCTCGAATAAACGCCGCCCTCGAATAAGAGCCTC